ACGTAATATCAATCCCGCGGTCGTCTCGACTCTGCTGGCTCTCGATCCATTATGAATGAGCCATCGAACGAGAAAGAGCGAAGGGGCGGGGAAGGGAGAGGGAGAACGAGAGAGTCGGCGGCACGCCTGTACTTAAATTGACAATTTACACAGTATGGACGACGGCGCAGTAACATTGCGGAAATTTGCCTGAAAACGCAAGAGCGCCCTTTCCCGTATTTACGGCCAGCCCTAATTGGAGCGTAAATCGCTTTTCCCGTTTGTCTGGCTGCGCAATCCTTTCTTTTTTACGAGGCTGTATACCTGCTCCGGTTCCAACGTCATCCCTTTTTGGAAGAGGACCGGGGCCGCCGCACGCGCGCAGGTGTGGCCTTCAAGTCAGTTGCAAACAATGCGCGCTGCGGGGCGAAATCAGTACAAATAAATAACTCGCGCTAATTTCCGCGATGTGGGTTACGTATTATATAGCCCAAGACGATGCTTTATGTCCAGGTCAAAACGCGAGGACAGCTGCTGCTGCTGCTGCTGCTGCGCAGACTTCTGTTAAATGCTTGGACTTGGCTGATTCCAAGGAGAGGCCTTTTCCTTTTCTCTCTGCTCTTCGATTGTCATTCCAGACAAAGTACTGATGCTACTGTTGCTGCTGGCGCTGTTGCTTTTGCCACTGCTGTGTGTTGATGAGCGTGTACTTTGTCTCACTCAGCATTGTTTGCCCGTGCGAATGGAATAGTTAACGTTACATTTTTTATTTTGCAAGATTTGAAAAGCCTCGTCGGTAAATAATGTATTAATAATGTCTTTTAAAGAACCACAAAAATCTGAAGGATGCAGCTTCGCCATACGATATATGTATGTATGTATGTGCGGTGAGCAGAGTTTTGCTCGATATACGTACGCGTATCAATGAGATTGCTGTTCTCGCGCCATCCGCTAAAACTTGACGGACGGGAGGAAAATAAATGGCGCAATAACAGCAGTTTTCGTTCTCGGGGCAAGGAATATTCAGCGCGACTACTGCTTTGACTTTGAGATGATTATTGAAGCCCGAAGCGTGTTGTAGCCTCCGTTCCATCGGGCACGCAACAGTAACTAACGTTTTCCTTTCGTCGGCTTTCGTTAGTTACGCGGCGTGTCGCGGCATATTGCGCAAGCGGCGAATCCTTGAGCTTCGATTTTTCAAGCCGCTCGTGTGCTTTTTCAACTCGTCGGGAAAAATCAGCTTCACTGTTTTTCCTCCGTGAACCCGTTAGCCGTTGTAAATCAATCGACCAGATTTTTCATTGTTTTGCCGGAGCGTACGTCTAGCATATGTCGGAGAGATTATCGATGCAGCAACACAGTGCTTAATGAGCTGTAAAAGGGTATGAAGCGTGATTTTACGAGTGACTCCGAGGAGGAGAGCAAACTTCTATGTTTTATTTCCTCTCGTGACGCGGAAAAGGGTAATGTAACGGTAAAGCCAAGTTGTTCTCGTCGGCAAGACTCCGCGAATTCGCGGCTGGCTAATTAGCGACACAACACACCTGACGGCCTGACGACGTTACGCGGGAATCCTTAAAATTTTACTTGGCGCGTGGCCTTAATTTCTTGCGGCAATTCTCACGAAACGAGAATTCTACTCGTATGGCCAACACGACGACGTTTGTTAAACAGGCTCCTTCTGTCTTGGTTCATCAATGCACACGCACGAAATATGGATACACGGACGGGTGATTACGGCAACTGTTTCCCATAATTCTATCGATAGCAGGTGTGAAACTTAGCCAATATTCCGTTCGTATATTTCTAGTGAAACTGAGTACGCGAGCTACGTGAATTTGTATATCTGTTACATTTTCAAACTGACGTGTTCGTAAAAAATTGTCAGATATTGCGGTATGCAAGCGAGAAGAAAAGTCATGTAGCGCATTAATCATCGCGAGCTGTGGCAATGTCTTTAGAGACGTAATTATCTTGCGAACGGCAAGTTGTATACGCTGTATAAACTGTCACATCAGACTTAAAAAACGAGCGTCGATTCGACGTCTGGACATGGTCCTGAAAGATCAAACAACATCTCTCCGAGCTAGGCACTGCACTGAAAGTGCAAAGTCGGCGCACGCTACGATAGATTTTGCCGCTCGGTGAGTGCGCTGGTGGGAGAGGCGCAAAGCAATAGCATACAGTTGCATAAGGTGCGCCTTGACCTTGACTTTGGCACTTGGTTACGAGACGACGGCGACTACGACAAACGGCCGTTTGCGCAAGCTATCCTATAGCCGCCAAGACATATTGCGCCGCGGCGCGCTAACCACGTGGGAAATGACTCGCGTCGATTCAATCGTGATTGTAAACATCCATCCTACGTATACACATTGTTTCACACGCGCGCACGCGCGCGCGCGCGTTTGCCTCTGCATAAAAAGCCACTACCGATTATTATTTTTGGACTTTCGACTGACTGAACTAAAAAATTGCTGCTGACGGAATCGCAAAAGCGTTGTTTGATGGACACATTTCAGTCATTTTTTTAACTCGAGTAATTATAAAGCAAGCATCATTAGCATGAAATCCGATCGACCGAGAATTTTTTGATACATTAGTCTTTGTTATGCGCTGTGTGACTCACGAATATACCGATTCCAATCAAAAACAAGTTGGAAAAAAAAATCGCCCGACTTTTTTGTCAGCGCTGTCTTTCAAAAAAAGAAGCAGCGGCACACGCTTACAGCGCGCGCACACACATGAAGCATTACGCTTTGCGGTGAAGCGCGATGAGCGTTAGATAATCGGTTGCGCGCCTCGCTAACGTAATGGTTGTACGAGTAGAGAGAGACCCAGCAGCGTAACGAGCTCTCTTTGCCGGTAAAATGAAATTCTAGGAAAGAATGCTCTTTCTCTTTCTCCTTGGTAAGCGCCATGGAGAAAGTAGGCAATGTGTGGCGCGGCATGTGCGCGTGTGTGTATTACTGAACTTGAAAAGAGTCTTACGAAATTTGCCTATGCGACTGTTAATTTAGCAGTAAAAGTAAAAAATGATACAATGAAAAGTTTGTCAATGCCGATCTTGAGAGTTTCATCAACTTCGTTGCAGCAATTAACAATCGACTCGTTTTATTTTCTTTTTTTTCAGATTGGTGAATAATCGTGTTTTTTTTTTTTTTTTTTTTTTTTTTTCATGAGCAATTTCGAGCTTGAATTTACAGCCATCTTCGTAGAGAGTGCTTTATGTCGGTCTATACAAGGATAAATCAAGGAGAAAATTTATCCGCGCGACAAAGTGTCTATCTGTATGTGTGTCAGCAGATAGAGCGCTAATTATTGCTTGCCGGTAAATCGGTATTGTGGAAAAGCGCCGACACGTTCGTTTAATTGAGAAATTAAGAGCGCCGTTAATCATTTTAGAATTCGAGTTTTTTCAGTCTCTCTTTGTTTTCCGCTAATCGCTTGCACGGAATCGGCTCGGTGATAAATTAAGTTTTTCTTCATTTCTGTTTTGTTGCTACGCGTAGGCTTGGTTTTAAAACGCAAACGCCCACGAAAAAAAGGTGCGGACTCGTGAAACATCAGCAGCTGCCATGCAGTAGCAAGGGGAATCGTCGACGCACAATGGGCGCGAGAAAAGGCCACTTGTCCTGATTGTCGGGGTGGCTCTCCGCATGAGTTATGCTCCGGGAGAATGAGACATCTCTTGGAAGATCTAAGGGATGCGTTTCGCAGGAGCATGTTTACCTTTTCACGATGTTGTCTTGTTCGAGAAACATTAAAATTGGAAAGAGCCGTGTGCATTTAAGCCCCATCTAAAGCCAGCGAAAGAGGGCACGGATAAGCTAATCAATGTAGCAATCGAAAAGTTGTCTACGATGCTGTGCGCAGGTATATCAACCAGTACCTGTTGCAACAACGGTCCTCCACTGCGCGACTCGGTTTCCACTTGAAAAAGAAAGAGTGCAATTGACCCTTTGAGAAAGGAGAGCGAGAAGAAAGAGAGCAGTTAATGGTGCGTACAAGTCCATTAGAACCCTTCTTGTTTTCGCACGAGCCTAGCAGCATGACCCTTTTAACGCTCGATCCACTGTTAGCACTTTCTTCCGTTTCGCGACACTCCACATGTTCAAGCCTCGAAATTTCGATCGAATTCGTCCATAAATCTAGAAGCGATCACAACCAGCCTCCAAAAATGCGTTTCTCGTTTGAAATCGACGAGGCATGCAGCCGAAGGATGGCATCGTAAAAAGAATCCGTTCCATAAAATGCATCTCTGTGGTTTGACTTATCGATCGGCTCTCGGGCCAATAAAGAAGGAAAAAATGCCCTTCGGACTTAGCAATGCATTCCCAGACTGCAGCGGCGAGCAACAGCGTCGGCTTGCATTGAACCGACCGGACAGGTTTCTCTCTCCTCTCTTCGTTCCTACATCCGCGACTCTCTCGCCGCAGCGGAGAAGCAACTTCTCTCTCTCTCTCTCTCTCTCTCTCTCGAGCGCCGCTACCACACAGATATACCACGTATTCCACGTACGGTATAAATCCCGCTCTCTCGCTAGATCTCTCGCGTAACAGGTCGCTTCGAAGGCGAGCGCAACCTTGGCCCCTACTTGGAAGCTCGCTCGTCGAGGACAGAGCTTTGGTCGCGCTTACACCAGCAAGTGGTGCACTGTGGCGTGGGCAGGCTTAGGGAATTGGAGCTTTCGGGGCTCTCTCTCTCTCTCTCTCGGCCTGGCGGCATAAAAGTCGGCGATGCGGAGAAGGCAGACTTGCTGGTGCGCGGATCGCCAAGAGCTTCGAGATGCGCGAAAGGGCTCTCCCGTTAGTTGCGCATGCGCAGCGGGAGCGCGACTCCTCCTTCCTCTATACCGCTAGCAAAGGGCCTCGCAAGCCGGCAGAGAGGGAGAGCGAGAGAGTCTCTTTCCGTGCCCGCTTCGGGACAGCGATAGAGAGAAGAGAGCCGCAGAGAGGTGGGGGCAGCGTATACCTGTGCCGTGCGTGAGCTCACCTCGGCAGGCCAGTCGAGCGCGAGAGCCTCGAGCTGCCAGAGTGCTCTTTGTCATTCCTCAGTTGCATTATTCCGCACGCACGCAATCCGTTTCCTTCTCCGAGTTGTTCCTTCTTCTGCCGGTATCTGGTTGTTTCTTAACTCTAAGCAAAAGTGAGTGATTCGCGGCAGATATGCGGTGAGCTCTCACCGCCCCTCGCTGCACACGTGCGCCCGAGATTCGCGACCAGACTGTTGAATGTGAGAATCAAATTTGAGTTGAGTGAGAGAGAGAGAAGAAGCCACGAGGATGCCCAAGATCTTTCTGATAAAGAACCGGCTGCATCAGCAGCAGCTGCGCCTCCTCGAGGCACAGCACCTCAGCAAAAGTCCGCCGCCACCCGGTTCCGGACATCATCACGTCATCGTCAAGGACGTGTCGCCGCCACCCATAGCCCCCACTCGTAGTCCTTCCACTCAGGAGCCGCTCAGTCTCATCGTCAGCAAGCACCAATGTGAGTTTCTTGTTTTTCAGCTGCTGCTACCAGCAGACGATCGGCAAACAATTCCCAAGGTTTTGGCCGGTATGCTTGGCCGAAAAAGCCATTCCCAGTTTCAGAGTTTCAGTAGCAGCGCGCTTTGTCGGTGTCGATGCCTGTGGCTGGTATCACGCGCAAACGGTACTTGAATTCTTGATACACACTCGGCATACGCGCCCGGCTGAATGGCAACTCGTCAATAGCGTCCACGTCGAGTCACATCTACGCTGTTTCGTCGAAGCTTAGAAATCTATGCGGGACGAGTGAAGAAATCGCGTAGCCGCTTTTACCGGCTTTTTTTTTTTTTTTTTTTTTTTTTTTCTATGAGATCAACGAGTCACCGAGAACTCGAAGATCGGCATTTCGCAGGTCGCGCGAAAATCTGAGCGTCGTCCGTTCGTATTGGCGAACGTTGCTCCGAAAGACCGTTTCGAGGATCGAAAGGTCGTCCGAGCTTCGAACGAGATGCAAACAGTGTTCCTCCTGCTGCAAGAACACCGAACGAACCTGTCCTCGAAATTCGCACGGTCGATAAACGATCTGACCGAGGAAAGGCTCGTTCGCGCGCGACATGCATACTGAAATAGGCGTAAATGTTATAAGGTCGCGCGCGGGCAAGCATCGGCAAGCGCATGCCGCGAGTCCTCCAGGACGCGCACGTGCGCGCCGATCAAAGGACGTCGCGAATTTCGGGCGTCAGAGGCAGGCGCGCGCGCACAGCTGCGCGAGCTCGTCGACGCCCTTGAAACCGGAGCGACAGCGAGGCCTTCGGTGCCAGCGAATCGAGAGAGGCTTTTCGGAGCAACGGTAAAGCGAGCGGGCGGCGGCCCCACCGGGGCAAACAGACGCAACTGCGACTGGTCGCCAGGGGAAAAGTCCTTCCGCCGAGGAATGCAGCGATCGCGGACGCGCTCGGGCAGCCAGGCCGCGCGCAGTGCGTGTAACGAGGAAAGTAAACACGGAGCTCGCTCGCGCTTACTCAGCCAAGGTTCTCGCCGCTCTGCAGCATCGCTCGCGCTCTTTTCTCCTTTGGCCGCTCTGCCCGCGCGCTGTCGACACGGCTCTGCTGACTCTTAACGGATCCCCGACAGCTATGCGCGCGACGCACGGTGACTTCAATGCCTCGCGGACGTGCCTGCATGCCGGCTTCGGCTCTCCTCTCTGTGCACTGCACGGCGCTCGGCGAGCGAGTGTCGGCCCCACTCGACTCCGCCGGCAGCCGAAAAGGGAACGCGACTAGCCCGACGAAACACTTTCCACGAGGCCGCGGCTCATTGTTAAGCCGTCCGTCGCGCACGCAAAGAAAAGAGAAGAGGCGGCGGCGAGCCGAGCGGACGCTACATAACGGGCGGCGCGCGGCGCGCGGCGCATTGACACGCACCGCCACAGCTAGCCTATAGGCGAGCATTGCGTATGCGTCGAGCGCTGCAGGTGGCTATCAGGTTGCGCGCTCATCGAGACGAATTACAATGCGTTGCGGCAGAGCTCTCTGTGCGCGTTTTCCCTCCGCAGATACGGATAGTTTAGCCGGCGTCCGGAAGTGCAGGCCGCCTCTGTGAATGCCTCTGGCCAAGCTGCGCTTCGTCAACACTGCGAGCGGTTTTCGCCTGATACGCGCGCTCGCCGTCTAACGCTTGTCGCCGTCAGGCGTACGTACGTGCGTGCTCGAGAGAGCCGAGACCGGCGAGCCCTGACCGAAATTCCGTCTACGGGGGCCAAGTGCACGCACTGCGCTAGCAGCCAGTCACACGCGCGCAATCTCACTTGGCCGCTCTTACCTCTCTCTTTTTCTTATTTTCGCCGGATGGACGCCTCGCGGCGATGGTTCCTGTAATGCGTGCGGCTCGTTTTCTTTCCTTAATGCTCGTGGGACGGAGCAGCAGAAAACGAGTCGAGATCGAGTTCAGGGCCACGAGCGTTGACTGAATGATATTTGCCAGGAGAGACGGCCGACTTGACTAGTGACGAGGATATAATGATATTGCTATTTTTCAAAAAACATCTCCTCGCTCGATCTTGGACCAGCCTGTAGGCTCATCTGCATTTGGTTTGGCAAATTCGCATAATAAACTCTTGGCCGGTGTATACCGTAAACGTTTAACGTGAAATTGCGTCGGCGCTACGGCTAGCGAAATCTCGCAACTGAGCCGAGGTGAATTTGAGTGGCTCGGAAAGCAGAGAAAAAAGGCTCGCGCAGGAGTGAATCATTAAAATCCATCAAACGAAAAACTCATCGATCTCTCGAGCGCGCCTCGGCTCAATTAAAGCGCGCTCTGACGTTTGTAAAATGCCCAGCGGCGGGGCTGCATCGCGCAATTTCTCTACCTTGACTTGCGCTCGCGCGCGAAAAACCAGGGAGACCTTGTTCTCGCTCTCCTTTGTTCGACTCCGATCTCTTTTTTGCCTGTGTGCGAGATGTTGATTCTTTTTTGCTCTCGCGCGCGATGATTCTGCGTAACGGATTGAGCTCAGGGATATGGTCTGCAATTGAATTTTTCGCCCGGAGACACGAGCATCATCCTCGGGCCACCATAGTTTCGCATTATCCCCATTGACAGTTCTTCGTTGCGCGAGAGAGGGTAACTGCTTGCCCGGCAAACGCTGCTAAAAGAGGAGGAGATGCGCTAACGAGGCACACGTCCGGCTGCCAGTGAAAAATAAACTGTTGTAGCGCCCGAAAAATCACATCTGGCCGTGCAACCCCCGAAAAGGGAGCCGCCACGTGTACTTGCAATTATTCAATCACCTGCATGTGTATCCTCTCTCGGTGCAGATTTCACGTGTGCCTGCTTTGACCGCCGGGTCGTCTTTGGCTCGCTTCTTTCTTTTTTTTCGTTGTTCAACACACACACAGACGCGCGCGCGCGTGCCTAATTATACATACGGCTGCGGGCATACGGGCTAAGTACAGACGTACGTATGCGTGCGTACGTGCGATAATCATTTGACGGACGCGCATTTGAATATGTATCTTACTATACGCAGCTGCGCGCGCGTGCCTTGGTTTCTTTTTCGGCGACGTACGTATAAGTCGTGGCTTATATGGTAATTGCGCGGCTACTTGAGGCTTCTGATTTAAAGGCATATCGTGATTGCGCCAAAAAAGGGGGATGCGCGTACTTGGCTTCTTCCAGGTGCAAATGCCCTTTTGTATAGCCGATTTTTGAGCTGCGCGCTCGATGAAAAATGGCCAAGAGTGGGTGGCTGGCTATTTTGTATCGTGATTTCCTTCATTTTTTTCGGCAGCGTATGTACGTACTTTGCCAGGTGATTTATTCTATCGCGCAAACGATCGCTAACCGAACCTATGCAGGTTCTCACTGCTTGTTCTTCGCCAAAATTACTGCTACCGTTCGATCAAATAACTCTTTAGTTTTTTGCTTTTGTTGCTTAGATGAAGATATTTCGCGTTGCACGTGTCGACGGATACACGCTTTAATCTTGCACAATGATCAACCTATTTAACTAAACATAACGAATCAAACTATTACTGATTTACATTTTTAAATTGACTATCGTTCATTTACAGCTATTAAAAAACACCATCGCGTAGGCTTCGTAATTCTGAGATAGTATCAACAAAGAGTCGCAGAGACAGAGAGAGTGAGAGACAAACTTTAATCAAGTGCATTCAACAACTTTGCGATTTCGGTATTTGGGAGTTGTACTGCATTTGGTTAATAGCTACCATGGTAAAACGTTTCTAAAGCGCATATAGACTTTCGATCTCAATGATATGCCACGCGCGTGTCACATATACGTATAATAAATCGTATATTACGAGAAATTTGACCTCGTCCTTCGCCCGAAAAAATCGGCTCGTGTGTGCAAAATAACCCTCTCGCGAAAGATCGGCGCGACATTGAATCGTTAAGCGACGACATTGACCCGAATTTCGTATTCTGCCGCGAGCGAGCCGTTATATGCCGCGCAGCGAAGGTTTCCTTGTCCAGGCGTTCGTGTCTCTCTCTCTCTCTCTCTCTCTCTCTCTCTCTCTCTCTCTCTCTCTCCCTCTCTCTCTCTCCTACGGAACTTGGCAAACACGACGAAAAAGAGCGACTTCAAGAGACCGATCGTTACCTAATCATCGCACACACGAACTGCCATTTTGAACGTGCCATTTGCCAAACAGAGAAAGTACGTCTCGCTCTCTTTCCGAAGTTCTTGCCAAAAATAACTAAAAATTCTTATCTGCACAGCAGCTGTGCCGTAAGCGTAGGCAGCTGCTGCTCTGTGATTTTTTATTGTGTCACAGCACATTGACAATCCACGTGCCGAGATATGCTGATGATCGCTGCCAAGCCATTTTTTGCTTTTTTTTATGTAACTGTAACGCGCGTGAAATTAAGATCGATTTTCAACGCGTCGAGACAACGGTGACGACAATTGTTTGGCGCGCGCTGAATGGAATGCTGTCGGCGCCTTTTTCCCTTTGTTTTCCATGGCTTTTTTTCACGTGCCAAGGGATTTCTGTGTGCGAATAATGGAAGCGAACAATTGCGGAAATTTTTGTAGATGAAATAGACACGCAAACACACAAAATTGAGAGAGATTCGTACAATGTTTCGCGCAGTTGTGTATATGTATCTAGAGAAAGAGATAGAGAAAGGGGGGGGGGGGCAATTTTCGACTCTACTACTTTATAAAATAAAATCGAGGCAAAGACACAATTGTTTTTGCAAAGTAATTGTCTGTTCTCTGAAACTATCACCGCACAGTTTATATTTTATTACAAAGTAATCATTTTACAATACAGAAATAAGCGTATCGTTAATAATTATAAATTAGATTTCTCGATGAACTCGTTCATATTTGTTCTTTTCATTATAGATCGTGAAAAATCCGACGATGAGCGTGCAACGACACCAGAATCACTGCGAGGCGGCAGCTCGCCAGCACCGTCACCGCCGCCAACTTTAGTTCCACTACCGCCAATCGTTCGACCGGAGACGACAACGACACCACCACAGCAACAGCAGCAACAACAGCAACCATCGACAAAAACAGCGCGACGCTTCATATCGAGTATCCTCGGTGGAGACGTACCGTATGGCAGTCGTGGACATGTACTCAGTAAAACCGACAGAATCGAACTGCCAAGGCCGGCAAGTCCGGCGGCAAGGATACCAGAGGCGCCTACAAGGGTATCCGTCATACAAAGGGTCCCCACAAAGGTACAGGCTGCTAGGAGGGAGGAGACCAAGATCGAACTGCCCAGAACTCAGGAGCCGGAGCAGGTAATCGCTCGAGCTTCTATCTCAATTAACAATTTTGAGTCACAGTAAATCATTACGTCTGCAAATTGTCTAAATGGGTCGTAGAGTCTGCAACGTAGCACGTCTGTATGTTAGTAGAGTAGGACCCTTCGAGGACTGCCGCTTCTTTAGATCACTTTATGACCTTATTGTGCGCGCTAAACATTTACCCTCCCATCTATATCCACTCACAGCAGGGGGTTAATATTCAAAAATTCGTGTCCATACTTCTTGGCCGACATTTTCCCCAGAGCTCAGTATGCCTTCGACACTCTCGAAGTATAGAGCCATGCGGTTCCCTCCAACGATAATCGCTAAGCTTATCACTAGCAATAAAACATTAGCAATCTGATTGCCAGGACCAACCTATCGACTACGCGGTTCCGAAACGCAACAAGGACGACCAGGAAGAAAGCGGACACGAGACAACGAAAGCTACCTCTCGTGCGCCGATCGACACTTCGCTAGCCCGACCCCTGTTGGCGGCTATGAGAGTACGCGTACCTGCAGGAGCCATTCACGTTGCTGCAAGTGGACACGGTAGATCGAGCAGTGCCAGTGGTGGCGGTCAGTCGAGTGGTGGTTCCGGTGCCTCGTCTGGTTCCGCAGGCGGTGGCTCGGCTGGAAGCGGTGGTGGTTTCGCCTCTAGTGGAGGGGGCGACGCGGGTGGTGGCGCCGCTGGCGGCAGCGCCGGTGGCGGCGGCATGAATCCTGGCGGCAACGGTGGACGCGGCAATTACGGCCCAAGCTCCCCGCCGACCGGTTCGTTGCCCCCGTTCTATGAGAGTCTCAAGGGCGGAAACAACTTGGCTAACTTTGCCAATCAATACAATGGTGAGTTTGTTGCCCGTCGTGCAGATTTCGTGAAAACTGACAAGACTCATCAAGCACTTGCGCGATTCGCCAGGTAATGGATACCTTACGGCTTCTCCGGCAGTCGGCATGGAATGCGACACCGGTCAGGGTGACAGCTTGAACTCGCATAATCAGTACTCGGCCCAGGAAGGCAAGCAGTACTCGCTCCTTCAGAACGTTTGCGCTTCGTACGGTATTGCATTGAAAGAGGAGGAGGACCTGGCCGGGTACAAGATGCAGCCGAACGACCTGTTATCTGGACAATACGGTGGCTACGACGTCACCGATTCCGGCATGATGTTGGACGTCGTTTCTGGCGCTGGCGTCGATCCGCTTCAGTTCTCAGCAACTTTGACATTCACATCGTCCGATCACTCGGCACTTCTGGAAAGTCTGACGGACGCTGCTGAATTATTCTTACCGAGGCTGACTTCGGATGAGAATGCCGAGCTACTTGATGAAACCTTACCCTCCCCTGCTTCCGCCGCTAGCAATGGCATCGCTCAGGATGCCACGCAACTCAGTACTCCCGTTGAGCCTAGCGTCGATCCGTTTCCTGAACACAGTATCTCGCTTACGAGAGGATTCGATGCGTCGAGGTTAGCTTGAATAACAAAAATTCAGTGTCTAACATTAAAATCCCATTTTAAATAAACGATTTTCAATTTTCATTGCAGACATTACGGAGCGCCACAGCACTTTGGCTCGTCCAAATTACCCTCGCTCTACACCAACGGTGATTCCACCTACCAGTCACTAAACAAAGAGCGCAACGAGCTTGGCCTTCACATCAACCAGAACCAGACGGAGCCACAGCTTCAACAACTACAAATTCAAGTGCAACTACAGCAGCAACAGCAGCAGGCGATGTCACCACATCCACCGCATCACCAAGGTTTGCTGAGTCCCGGTCTCAGCTTTGGCAGTGGTGGGCTCCTTTCCTCTTTCACTCTCTTTTTCTATTTCTCTACCCCCCCCCCCCCCCCCCCCGCGCTCTTAACAGTTGCGTCGTTAATTATTCGATTGATTTCTAACAGTTGTGACCTTACTAAGTCCTTGTAGCTCAGAAGTTTGTTTTATTTATTTTTTATTTTTACTACGATCATTGAAAATTCAGTGCCAATTGCGACTTTTTAGTGCTTCTCGAAGTTTAATGAGAAATAGTTATTTAGAAATAGAACTTTAACAGTCGACTAACAACCTTGCTACGAGCTTACTTCCTTCAACGACGTCCTTGCCTATAACTATTTGTTTTATTTTCCAGGATTAGAACTCGACTCGGCAAGTAGCGGTTCATTGCCAAGTCCTGGAGCTGGAAGCTGCTCGTTGGACGCTACTTCGACAAGTACGTCACCGTCATGCGCTCTGATGGAACACGCACCAAGTCCATCGGCCGTGGCAACAAATACTCCGAGCAGCACTCAAGAGCCACCGCTTGTGGCGCAAAGGGTTGGTGCTCTTCAGCAGAGGGTAAGCTGCTCATATTGATACAGGCAAACGCATAGCGGACAACCAATACTTTTATTTTCTCTTCGTGGTTAGTCAAATCAATCAGAATATATTTTTTATTTGTCAAAGAAAGATCGGCTTCCTCTTCTGCTTCCTCGGATGATTAGTCTGCACGATAGACTTTATTAACCAAGAAAGTGTGGTACGGTTTTAGCTAAAAAAACATTATATGCAATGCCAATCAACTTGAGTGCTGTATCCTAAAATATATCAGACGGCTATGCTGTTTTAATTTGAAAAGCGAATAGCAATAAAAAACGCGCATGGTTTTCTTCTACAGCTGGGACTTCCCGGTGACTTACCACTAGAATTCGTGAATGGAGGCCACGGAATAAAGAATCCATTGGCGATCGAAGGGCAAAGGCAAGCTACCACTAATAGAGACGAAGAACGCACAACTCGAGCTCCGACCAGTAAGGTAAAATACTAACACTTGCTTGGATATTTCCACAAATAATATTTTCTGTTGTAAAATAATGCTAATCATTTGGAATCTCAATCGACAGGACGACGATCCCAGTCGATTCAGCTGTCGTGTTTGCAACAAAAATTTCAGCTTGCAGAGATTACTGAATAGACATATGAAGTGTCACAGCGATGTGAAACGTTACCTCTGCACGTTCTGCGGCAAAGGCTTCAATGACACGTTTGACCTGAAGAGGCACACGCGCACGCACACCGGTGTACGACCCTACAAATGTAATCTCTGCGAGAAGAGTTTCACGCAACGATGCTCCCTCGAGAGCCATTGCCTCAAAGTACATGGAGTGCAGCATCAGTATGCTTACAAAGAACGTCGCACAAAGGTAAATTGTCGAGCGCTTACGTTACGTACAAACGTTCTGCTCTTTTTTGAGGACGTAATTAACTGTAATGTCGTTTGTCCGTGCAGGTTTACGTGTGCGAAGAGTGCGGCCACACAACGCAGGAGCCCGAAGTGCACTACCTGCACCTCAAAGACAAGCACCCGTACAGTCCGGCCCTCCTCAAGTTCTATGACAAGCGTCACTTCAAATTCACGAACAGCAACTTCGCCAACATGCTGTTGCAGGTGCGCACGTAGAACAAAAGACCACGACAACAAAACGATCCTTTTTTTCAACTCCTAACACATCACTTTTGATATACATCCGCGATACTTTATTGCGTATATAAATAAGCACAACTTTGCTTATCGCCCCTTCCCTTATTGCTTCGTGCGCGAAACTTGGTTTCCTCGAGCGTGTACAAATTTTTCAGAGCTGTATGTAGCATTTTAAGAGACTTAGCACGATAAGCAAAGTTTTCTTAGAGTCTAGACGTATACTTTTCACGCTATATAAACTGCTTCTAACATCACAAATCAAGTTTAAAAGACAGACGTAAAAACAAACTTGTCGTACGTAAAATCGTAGCAGGCGCAGCTCACCTGTGCATGATGTGGTGTTCTCGAATGTGTGTAATCTGCAGGGCGGGCTGCTGCAGCGGGACTCGCGAAACCCAGACTCCTGCGTCAAGTCAGCCTCGAAGACGCTCGAGACGACGCAGCTGCGCAGGGCCTCGACTTTGTTGCACATGGGCCGGGCGGCATCCACTTTTTGAGCGAGAGACTCACGCAAATACATTACGAAAACCGAGAGAGCGAGAGATAGAGAGGGGGAGAAAGAGAGAGAGAGAGGGAGAGAGAGAGAGAGAGACAGAAAGGGAGACTACCTTTTTTACAATCACGGATGATGGACACTCACTCGTAACACACACCCTTACGTACATTTCTCCGTTTGCAGCGGCATCGTTCAGTATTTATTTTTGTTCGCACAATCATAGACACACAAGCGCAAATTTATTATCATACGTAACCCAATCTTTCATTTAGCGAGGTTTTATTTTTTCTTGCTCTGGTTTTCTTTCATAGGGGAGGGTACATAGCTTAGTTATTTTCTTCGCGTGAGAAGGGTAACAGAACAAAAAAACACCGAGGGCCCAAAGACTTGGAATCGACGTTTCAGGAATGTTCAATAATGTATTGCTTGCTCTCTTCACGGTTGATTTATTATAATGAGATGCTCGGCGCGTTACGTTGCTTTCCGACTTTGCGGGCCGATTCTTTAAACGAATGCTCTTAAGAGATCTTTCGCGTTGCAAGCGAGGAACGCGCACCGCTTTTACGTGCAGCTCTTCTCAAGCAGCAAAACTTTTGTGACTCTTTTACATTTTGATTAATCTCAGAGATAATTTTTGCAAGATGCAGCGACATTTTTCTATGCGAATACAAATGAACGTCATTACAAAGTCTGATAATCTCATGTTTTATTTCGCACGCACAAGTTCCATATTTAGTGTAAAAGACTGCTGGACGTTAGAGATCTCTTAATGTACTTAAATGGATCGACGTTTATACTATTATATAGAAGATCGCCGCAAAGTTAAGAAGCTTTCGGTCGATTCTTTTATTCGACTGACGTGGTAAATACTTAAATAATGTTAAATAATTACTGTATAAAAAAATAAGGATAAGAGAAAGCTGATGATGTAATCCCTTTCTCTTCTTTTATAATATAGATTTTATGCGCACCTTTGTTAAATGGTATAACCTGTGATATAGAGTGGCCCGAATGATGAAAAAAATAGAAGCACAATTTCAAACCAATTTTCTTCTTCTTGAATGCTGGCGTGAATGAGGATCTTTCATTGAACACAGATTTGAACGTGAGCTCTATAATACATAGAAGATTTTTTATGAAAGAAAATATTTTAGGGCGGGACGATGCAATCGAATTTTTACATGTACTTAAAAGGCGATACATAGTTTCGCATGGCATCGAATGCGAGATTTTATATGCGCGAAAATCAAACGCGTATTATAAACATAAACACAAATCGGGGATTCGTGCAATTATTCGCGGTGGCAGAGAATCTTAGTAGGCGCCTTTCGCTTCTATTTGACAAATTATGCGTAGGTAGATTTCTTTCTTGTCTTCATTTGCAAGACGGGACAATTAAAGCACGCAGGGTGCTTTATTTGCTTGGAGGATCAGAATCTTTTTAAGGATAAACAGTAAAAAAATGACGACGAGGTGCTTACTCACTCTTATAACGAATTTAAGTGAAATTATTTGTACATATAGTATTTTAATCGAGAATTTATATAGATATGTACGTGTGTGTCAGAAAGTTTTTCTATGAAAAAGAAGGGAAATGCGATATAGATGTAAACTAAGAAAAGTTATGTCGTCGAGGTAACACCTGCATTTCTTTATGCTTCGAGTAAAACATTGTCGGCGCTCGCGATCTTTACTTGGCACAAACTTTCATTCCAATGATCATTAAAGTTATACATGCGACCATTGTGTAGTTCTTTTGTAGGTATTAGACTAGTGCGTTTCTCTCTTTTTTAAAATATAATTGTAAATCTGTTTAAAAAGCAAAACTATCTATGTTGGTGACTGTAAATAATATCTTATCGATATTTTTTATTTTGGGCTGCTTTTCAGGCCTCCTACGCGGGTCAAATTTCAGTCTTTACACTATTAGTACCTTGCATATTTTAACTATAAAATATAAAATGAGTAATTGTATAAATAGCGTGAGATTTTATTAGTATATTAATAATATTAATACAACTATTATATAATCATATAATTCTATTGATATATTATTAATGATTGATTATGGATGATAAAAGTAAAAAGGCTATTGTATAAAGAAAAACAAATCAAGAAGCATGAAACAAATCCATCTGTCCAGATTCAAATACTCAAGTAAAAAGCAAGTGAACACCGAGGAGTGCGATTACTACGACTCTATTATTTAATTTACGCCCAGTATTGTTTTTACCGCATAATAAATACAATCTCTCTCTTTTTTCTTTTGTGCTTGAGTCGAATTAAAACATAACGTTATGCTATGTGCGTAATTTCGAATATATACGTATCATCAGCAAGCGCTCAAACACGATTTATAACACTTTTTACATATTGATGTCTCTTTTTTTTAACTTTATAACGTTGGACTCTCGTCGTTAATAATAAAAACATGGTTATTGTCCGTATTATATTATTAATATTATTGAATATATTATAAAAATATTTATCGTCGTTAAGATCAACGCATATGAATGTTATTATTATAGAATAAATAAAAATGGTGAATACATTTGTTGGGACGGCAATGAGAACGCCTACCAATTTATAAAAAAATTATCTACGATGACTATCTTTTACGCGCTTAATAATGCCTTTTTATTGTAAAAGCTGCGTAATTAGCGTTTCAAAATATGAAAATAAATAATTTAACGCACAATTAATCGAGTATTTCATTTGTCAACCTTTCAGAAACATTATTATTAAGTATGGATTTAAATGGAATAGAAAATTGTTATTGTTCAAAAAAATAAATTTTCATTTATTTTGTACTGAGTGTGCTTTGTAAAACATGTCATTCGATCTTATAAAATATCAATCCTCTCGTAGTAAATTTTGATTTTACAAAAAATTAAAGTTTACTTACAAATATACAATTGAATTTTTTCATGCTATTCAATCAACAATATTTTGTTTAATTTAAAGTTAATAAAATCTTTTATATAACACTACTCTTATACTACTACTCCTGGGTGTGTTTTAGCTGAAAGAATATTTATTTTTATTACTATTAGCGTACAATTAATTATTTTTATAAGTAGCCAAATAATTTTTTTTGTCAAAGCATACATATGCTTTCACTTTATTGGTAAACATGCAATTAAAACATGCATAAATACATAATAAGCATTACTACTCACTACTGACAACAGAGCTCATTGGTATGACTCTTGGTTTTGCTGGAACTTTCGGAGCATTTTTTCTAGATTTGGACGATGAACTACCTTCGCTCGGTAGTTGTTGCAGCTAAAAATATTGCAAATGTAAATTACCGTTTATACAATGTTTATATACCACTTGGATTATCTAAATTATGCAAACCTGTTCATCAATCGCATTGAACTGCCACTTCCACGTGTGATTATACAAAAATTGTCTATGGTCAAATCGGTTGTCATCTGGACTATAAGTTTCAGCATGACAGGATGGAGTTAATATAGTCATTTTATGACGATTGATGGCATAACAACGGTAGAAGTGTTTGACTTTATCTGCAACCTACAAATATTTCAAATATTAATGGGTAAGTGTAAAAGTTCTAAATAGTAATAAAGTTTTCCGTGAAAAATTACTTCTTTTGGTGAAAGGTGATTCCATGTATGTACAAGTTGACAGAACATGGAAAGTGGACCCGCACAATTTTGTTTTCTGAGACGTCCGAAAATTCCTAATTCTACATAAGTCATACCCATGTCAATTTCATCGAGCTGTACTAATTGTCCGGCTTGAAGAGGTTCTAGTTCGGCCGTCGGTTGAGCCTCTAAGATTTGATCAATGGCTGGAAGGTTATATTTTTTCCTATAATTGAATAAACTATATTTTTTACGAATTCTTTTCAAATTACTCGAGGTAATAAACGTAATTAACGACAAACCGGAAAAATATAAGAAAACTCTTTAAGTCATTTTTAGCGATCCCGCCAATGGGATTAATATCAGCACTACTGCAATCGTATTTGGTAAAGTAGCCTCGCAATGCTTCATCGACGTTGCCGCTTCCGAGAACGAGTAAACCACCTGGTCTGCCACGTACCCAAAGCATGAGTTGTGCAAATAAATAAGCGATCACCATTCGTATTCTCGCCTGAAAATCAATTATTCGAGTGAGCGCCGATTCCATACGACGAGACACTGATATTTTAATATATTAGCGAGCGGCAAACCTGAATGTTTTGGAGAGCCAAATTTTCCCTCGGCGAGCCACCTTGGACTTTGAATCGAGGCTTTAATTTTGTCACCTGATAAAATATACCGAGTATCGCCGAAATAGCAGTATCGATAATAACACTGTGATGGCAAGCGCCAAGTTGGCTTGCAAGATCGGCCGCTCTTGACTTTGTCTCGGTCGAGGAATTTTCGGTTGCCATGTAACAAGTAACAAGAAGCGTGTTACAAAGTTGTTTCGGATCCGTTGGGACATATTCCGGATCACCGACAATTTTTCTTATGTCCATGAGAACTTGCACGTCTAAAAACAGCATTCAGAGAACATTATCCAATTAAAATTTTCATATACGCATCAGAAATCGCAAATATGTAGACATCTGAAAGCTTTGAAAAAAACGTCTTCATATAGACGAGAGACTTGAAAAAAATGTGTCATGCATTAGAGTTCAATTTGGATTACCTCCTTTCTGCACAGACTCGACAATCATACAGCACATCGAATAAACTAGACAAGCAGTGGCTGAGGAATCGACACCGCCACTCAGTGGTAAGAAAAAGCCACCTTGACATGAGCGCCTTCAAAAACAAATGGAAATTCATAACAGTTTATCGATGCGACATTATAGATGAGTTCGCCGTTTAAGCGTTTACCGTAAGTAGTCCCAAAGCCAGCAAGCAGGTGCCATCGAGATTTCTTCCTCGGGCGTGTAGTAGATTATTTTAGATTCTTCTGCCTCGTCATCCTTGAGATTGATCGGCGCATCTGGAGCATTAAAAATTAGACTGTCCGAGGTTAGCGCGAAATCCACTTTAATTCTCGGATACGGATTGGTTTTCGAGGCGGTGAACGTCCTTGAGCGAATGCTGTTCCGGTAACTCCTACAATTTGGTCATGATCGTTATTGAATGTTCCCTGGCGCTTCTATATGCGAAGATTAACGAGGTTACCTAATATCTTCAAGATCAACGGTAGCAACAGTAACTTCAACTTCAGCCAGTCCAAACTGTTTGCTTCTGCTAAGTACCTGACCATTAACGGTAATGCTTGAACCGCCATTGAAATAAACCCTCGCACCATCGCATCCGCGCATATTACTAAACATGTAACAACCACCTGACTTGTAGGTAGCCGATTTGACAAGATCGACCGTGACGTAGGCCTTTCTAAGCTCAAAATAAGAGCCACTACCTGCGAATAATTATCACAACTGATTAATTATCCTTGGCAAAATAACGAGTAATTTTAAGGGAAAATGTTTTGGCGCTGACCGTTTGATATGATCTCGACGCCGTCAAGTGCCATTGGTATGTGATTGCTGGACGGATTCCAAAGCTCCTCACAGATCTCGAAACCGATGCAGGTATCGTGTGTGGCGATCACCGCGTCGCCAATGTGCACCGTCTGTTGCGACGTGATTTGTGCAATCATTCTTGGCAGAAAGTGCTCCTCGACCGTGCGCTCCTTTTACAATTTTTGATGTAATAAATCACACTATCACAAGCACAATCAGTTTGATTACGCGGTTTATAACCTTCATGTTTGCGTTTTATTGCGCATAGCATATTATAGAGAGAAGATTTAATTTGAATTTATCATTGTCTGGGCTAATAATATTTCCGAATAGCTAGTACGCGCCAGTATTAATATCTTCTTTGTGCGTGGAAAGTGCGAATGCTTTGTTTTCGCACGCAGAAACATATTGTCGTCACGAGAGAGCAAGAAAGATCATAACCCGCCTTCCCGTCTGGCAAAACGTCCAACTCCGAGGTTATAAAATTTTCAGTTTTACTTTTTCTCAACGATACTTCATTAACGAAAAAATAAAAAAATATATGGAAACATCTGTTTTAATTACTCGCCTTGTATAAAATGATTGTAAACGTGAATCAATGAAAAAAAATCGTAAATGAGTAAATAAAGGTACCTTTGACCAGGGCGAAAACCATCTGGATTCCCTGTAATTGCCATTGTCACACATCGCCATTTTCGGTCTGATAAGAAGGATACGTCGATTGAGAAAAGCAATTCGGCAATTGTAGGTGACGTTCCTGTGCATCACTGGCATACCTACGTCGACGAGCATGTCCTCGCATTCGGGTGACTTTAACAGTACGGCCAACACTTCCCAACAGTGCAGCAACGTGTCCGACTCGTAGAAGTGATCTTCGCAGTTGTAGCCACTGGAATTATGTAATCTGAGCGTGAGTTTTTTCCAATAGCTTCTTCCAGCCGTTAGGGTTGACATCGCTATGTACACACAGTGTCTACAACGAATGTTTCTTCTTTCATTGACATCATAAAAAAGTCAACGTTCGAATAAAATGCCAGTTGTTGTTTAAGATCAGGGAATCTACGTGCATATTCTCTGTTCGCAAAATACACGTAGATCGCAGCGTTGAACAAATGGAATAAGTGAAATGAGTGAAATGAGTGAAATGAGAAGAAATGACTACAAGAAATGGCTCGTATTCGCGTGCTGTTTTGAAAAATGCGAGATTAAATTGTTCGCAGCGCGTCAATTAAAAACGAATCTTAATTTACACGGTTGTTACCGGTTTCATTTTTAGACCAGTGTTAATAACAAACAGCTAAACAAATTACCATATTTCAAGCTCGGGACCGCTTCTGTATCTAGCTCCTGCTTCTTTAGCTTGCTGTATGCTGAGTAGAATCCTCTTGAGGTTGCCCTCGAAATCCATAGCCCATTGGTTGAGGGTACACACCGCGACGGTGGCTGTCCGTCCCATCTCCAATTTGAATGCTCAATTCCAAACAGAAAAAAGAACAAGAGCTGCAACAAGCAGATAGGCCTCGAATGAGAAACCGAGATAGTATACTAAAAAAACCTTCTGCCGTGCGCCGCTCTTGATTGATCAATATCACCTTAACGCCATGTTCGTGCCCTCACGAAACCCAACCCACCGACGACGCGTATGTATGTAAATTCCTCAAAGCCGCGCGGCTGAAATTTTCAGTGCAACTAAAAGAAGTCTAATAATAGCTTGAACTTGACTGGTGGCTAAAAATATCCAGGCTGAACCTTAGAAAAAAGAAAGGAAGAAGGCTCGTTCAGCTCCATTCACTAATTGTCTTGCCGACTCAAGGATAATCAATAATGACAATTGGCAATGGCTCAAGGGAATATATCGTCTGCGACGATATAATCAAGGCCACTACGTTTTTTCATTTCTTTTCCGCTTGCGATGCTGTTTACATCGATACTTACACACACAAACTAAGAATACACGAAGCGTTAGTTGGTTGCTCGCCAGCGAGGCGCCGATTTTTCACCCCGCGCACGTGAGGGCGATGATCAGCAACGACCACCCTCACCCGCGCTCTGTCAGTCTTGCTCGAGCCGTCGGCTCGACAACATCACGCAAAATTTTACTCGCGCGTTAGCTCGCTTGACCTAGTATATGTCTGCAGTAGAAACGCGCAGAGGCGAGGAGGTAAAAATAGTGACGTTCGCAAGGCAAAATCAGACCTCTTGCTCTCTCTATTTTTTCTTCTTTTTCGCATGCCTTATTTTATTTTCGGTAGCAACGGTCGACATAAATAAAGTGCGCCCGATCGATTAGATCGATCTGCGTTCTTCTCGCAGTGTTTGTTGTCATTCTAAAATTAGAGTTACAAGTGGCAAAGTCGAGTAGCAGGCTAGCCCGGAACCTTGGCAGATACACGTTCGAATAATTTTCGCGTCGTGGTCGTCGTCGTTGTCGTCCAAGTTCTTTAAATTTGAGCAGACCAAATGCGCTAAGTTCGCGCAAGGTTCGCAAAGTTGACACACTGATTGCATGGGTGAACGAACGCGGGCGAGTGAGCGAAGCGGCTCGATCAATCACATGGACGCGCTGATGCGCCTGCATATCACGCTTGTCGGAATTCCCGTCGGATCGATTTAACAAACCAATAAGACTTTTGTAACTCGAGTTTGCTATTTTATATGCAGCAGTAGCGAATGAACAACGAATCATGAGATTGCTGTGCTCGATTAGATGAGATCGAATATGATGCTAAGGCTTGTGACTGAGGATGCTGCCGGACACGCTGACGACGAGACATGGAGTACGTCGTGAACGGCAAAGTGAAAGACCTGCAAGCTGCTCTATTTCCGGTACAACCGATTCCTGGTAAACTTCGATTGTCTTTAGTTTTGTTTTTCTTGTTTCTCATTGTCATCATTCTTTTCGTTTTTGAAAAATTTTCCTGATTTTTTTTTTTAAGAGGAGCAAAGTCAAAAACCTAAAAAGAAGAAAGTGAAAAAGAAAGTTAAAAAAGTTAAGGCTAAAGGTATAAAATGAGTGATGGCTTGTTCTGTTATTGAGTGATATTTGCCATTTCATTCATCTAAAAATACTAAAGCCACTTTGTATGGATAAAATCTCTGTTGGTTAACTAAAAATAAGAGATTTTGTTGATTAAAAACATAAAAATGCTTGCTTACTCTTTGACTAACGACTGCAACAACTATATGCGAAGATAAACAATGATTTGCTCTGTGTCGAATTACGCTTCCTGTATTCCATCAAGAAATTCCCCGGGCAAGGGTCCAACATTTCCTGATTATTAACGTATACGCGTGTTGTCTGTTTTTCCCACGAATGAAAAAGTAATTAATTGGATGCATCTGCCTGCTTGTTCTAAGTCCTAAAAACTGTTCCACAGGCAATTCAATATCGAATCAATGTCTGCAAACGCGGTTCGGCATCGAACGCAAGGATCTGGACTCGGTTCTGACTCTGGCCAATGGCTTAGTCAAAGCGAAGGATGGTTTTCTACAGGGTGGCGATGCGAACTTCGATGCAGTGGCACGATGGCCAACAGAGTGCCAAGTGAGCATACATATGTGTTGCAATGATCGTCAGCTCTCGGACTGAAATTTATCACCGCGACAGGTGTGTGTTTGCAACGAGATATGTAGGAATGCATTTGGTGTGCAGGTATTAGGAGATCGCGTGCGACACCTGGACTATTCGCCAGCAGAACCCGAAGTTTTTTACATCCCGAGTGGCAAGGAACCAAGACCAAAGCCCGTAGGAGAAGAGTCTGGAGAAACTGTGTTCCAGTATTGCCCGGCCGGCCCCATCAATTACGTAAGAGCTACACGATTTACTTACGATATGATTTGCACGCGACACCAACAACAATTTGTTCTGCCTGGTAATAATGAAGTTTTTATTGCGTAGTTCAGCAGGTCATGCATAGGCGGTAGCGCTGTTGAATTGAACAATGAACGGAATGGAGAACAGCCGCCAGCAAACGTTAATAATCTGGCATTCGAGTCGAGATTCGAGTCGGGTAACTTGGGCAAAGTTATCAAAATCACCGATACGTATTATCAGCTTCACTTGAGAAAAGATTTATATACGCAGAGACATATGCAGTGGTACTACTTTCGGATCACGAATACTCGTAGCAACGTCATGTACAGGTAAGAATAGGAAGGCGTGTGACAAAGATATTTTGTACTTGGTCGCGCTCCAAGTTATAATTTTGGAGAAAATCCAAAGTCGCTCTCGAGAAAGAATTTGCCGAGTTTGCAATTTCAAGAATTATTAATACTGTCAGTCAAATACTAAAGTTTCATCAGTGGATTAAATCGCAATAGCGCCAATACGCCTGTGCCTGTGCCTAGTACGCTAATTCTCAATTTCTCAAATGCGTTAGAACGCCAGACTGATTGGCGCTCTGAAAGTGGAGCAATGCTAAGTAACGATCTCGATACATTTTTCATCAGGTTATCCATAGTAAACATGTGTAAGGAAGACAGTCTGTACAACGAAGGATTGCGACCGCTAATGTATTCGGAGAAGGAGGCGACTTCCAAAAAAATCGGCTGGAGGCGCTGTGGCGAGAACATTTGCTACTATAAGAACGACTCGTCGTGAGTTGCGCGCACACGCACGGCACGCCAAACTCGAGCAATGCCTCTTTCGTTAATAATCGTCTCGAAAAATGTTGTAGGGACGAAGAGAAAGAGAAGCACACGTTGACATTCAACGTTTACTTTCCTCACGATCAGGACACCGTCTACCTCGCTCACTGTTACCCGTACACCTACACCGATCTGCAGGTATGCGTTGCACCTAACGATCAGACTCGCTGTTACAACGAATCAGTCAACAATGACAGATCACGCGTGTACGACAACAGGAATACCTGGGCAAGATAGCCAACGACCCGATAAAAGCACGCTTCACAAAGCTACGCCTGCTATGCCGAAGTCTGGCCGGCAACGCCGTCTACTATCTGACGATCACCGCGCCTCAAGCCAACGACGACGCCCAACAGCGCAAGAAAGGTGTCGTCATAACGGCGCGTGTTCATCCTGGTGAGACGCCCTCCAGTTGGATCATGAAGGGCATTATCGACTTTCTCACCGGCGAGTCCAACCAAGCGAGGGTATGCCGAAGCAGCCGTAAACCACTTGAGTCTTGGCGTCGCGCTTTCATTTCAAAAGCCAATGTTTGCTCGAAGGAATTACGCGAGCGTTTCATCTTCAAGCTCGTGCCAATGCTGAATCCAGACGGAGTGATCGTAGGTAACAATCGCTGCTCGCTCGCGGGCAAAGATTTGAATCGTCAGTACCGCACGGTTTTGCGAGAGAGCTATCCCTCGGTATGGCACACCAAGCTAATGATTCGACGTCTGATGGAAGAGTGCGGAATCGCCATGTACTGCGACCTGCACGCGCACTCGCGCAAGCACAACATCTTCATCTACGGCTGCGAGAGCAAACGCGCCGGCTATCCGGGCAAACTTGCCGAGCAGGTGTTTCCACTGATGCTTCACAAGAACGCCGCCGATAAGGTAAAGTACACAAGCTTGTATTTCCGAGGAGGGCGATAATTGGAGCGCCGACTGGTTTGCAGTTCTCGTTTGAGAATTGCAAGTTTCACATCGAGAAGAATAAGGAGGGCACGGGTCGAGTTGTGGTGTGGCTGATGGGTATCCAGAATAGTTACACGATGGAGGCCTCGTTGGGTGGCTCGCGACTGGGCTCGCGAAATGGCACGCACTTTAGCACGCAAGATTACGAGCAAGTTGGCAAGGCTTTCTGCGAGACTCTGCTCGACTTTTCCGACAGCGACCCCATTAAAGTAAGAGTGCAGCGTGCACCAAACGATCGACCGGTCGCTCCAATCGCTCGTTTTTCTTGCAGGAGAAACTCAGGAGCAAGATTATAGCAAGGTTAGCGAAGGAGGGTTCGAGTGCCGATGAGCCGACCAACATCGATTTAACCGATTACTCCAGGTGAGATCGCGCGAGACTATTGATCGTGAGGCTTCGAGCGCAAATTAACATTCGGATGCTTTTCGTCAAGCGACGAGGGAGACACGTCGGAGAGTTCGTCCGAGGACGATAAGTACAACGGCGACGTGATTTCGCGAAGACTGAGCGCTTGCAGCGAGGACCGGCGTTACCTGTGCGTGCCACCACCTTCGCCGATGCTGCTCAAACCTGCCACCGCCGATTCCTTAGGCAAGATTAAAAAGCCCAAGGCGACTCTGCCGAGATCGGTGTTGCCGCGAAGGAAAACGGTGAGTGTGCGAGTTCGAGTAGCCATCCGAATGACCGAAATCAATGGCTGTGGGTTCTCGACTGTACAGAGAAACAGGACGGCCATGGACCTGCCAACGACTGACCCCGGCAGCGACTTGTACGACATGACGGACTCGGGTGACGAGACAAACGCACGCTCGGCAGCGGAGAACCAAGGCGGCAGAAGCTCGGGAGACGAATCGCGGTTATATGGCAAGGAGAATCGCGTGTCGAAAAAATCCGACATCAATTTGCCGGCGATAGTGAGGCCGCGGAGCTTATCGCTGGGCGAGGAGATAATCGAAGACCACTTGTGCACGAAGAACAAACATCGGCTACACCGTCGTGACATGCCAAGGTACACATCGACGTTTTGACTTTTCTGATCGCCCGTTAAGCTGCCTCTCCCGCACTCTCTGTCTCTGTCTCTGTCTCTGTCTGTCTCCGCCTCGTGTCTCTGTCTTCGTCTGTCGCTATATTAGCTATAAATTGCAATTTGAAGGCCATTCAGGAATTTATCTCCTGTCATGCAAAAAGGCCAAGCAGCAGCGGACCACATGCAGATCAAGCTGCTGTCGCTACGTCGCCAGATTTGGACGGCCGTGGGCAATTACGAGCAAAGGCCAGACGAGAGCGTCGAGTACTTCTCCCTCACCAACAATTATCCACTTAGCTGGGCTGTATCTAAGATAGCCTGCGAGTATCAGATTGATAATGACGTCACTCTTGAGTGAGTTCTATGAGGCCAAGTTTTCATCAAGATATGTGTGTCATATGTTTTTTGTTTGTAGATCTTGTTCAAAGAAACTGGAGGAATTAAATTGCAATAAGAAGGACCTGAAGAAATCAAAGAAGAAAACGCGCAAAAAATTCACCAAAGAGAGGGTCACTGAAGCTCCACCTGTGATAAATGTTCTAGACGAGGACAACCAACAGACCAAAAAGAAGAAGCCTCGAATAAAGAGGCAGCGAGCTGTCAAGTCATCTCTAGAACCAATGGAACCAATAGAGAATAACACAATAGAGAATAGCACCAGCGACGGATTGGACTTGTTAAAACTATTTGGAACTGCCAAGCTACCAAAAGTTCAGTCCCAAAAGTCAAAGTTCGAGTCTAAGAAGAAGCTGAACAAAACAGTGATAGCTACTACAGTTGTTACTACAAAGTTGAAGCCTAATAAGCTTGCTGTTGATTCAGTGGATGATAGCAGTAGCTCTGAGAACTCTCCACCTGTCAGACGCAAGAGTATTAAGAAGAAGAGCAATTCGACAACTATAATTGTGAAGAAACGCATACAGAGTGCAGTGGCTTCCAAGAAAGATCCTAAATAATAGAAAAACGTATACTCACCTAAAAGCAACTGCCATCCATAATTAATTTTGCACTGCCAGTTAAAATAATATTCAACTTTATCGTGCCACTGACAAGAGAGACTTATTCATCAACATTTAAACTTATTAGGATAAACAGAATCATCACACACAACCGGGTAGCCAAAAAAACGGAAAAATCTATCTCTACGTGTTCTCACTCCGGCATAACCTCTCACACCTTCTCTACTATATTTATTAAGCGTTGTTTGGAAATACATTTGTAACATTGTAGATTGACATTTTTTATGCTCTGTAAAACAGATATTTGAATAATCGTTAATTGTTAAAAGATAATGTTAATTTTAACGTGTTCTGCCCAGCAGAGTTTTACGTAATACAATAATAAATGAAGGTTAGCAAAATATCGCTTTTATTTACTTTGATCGAATGCCACAAGTGCGGGTGTGGTCGTCACTGGATGGTCTTATTTTCCTATCCTTCTTGAAATCTCAAATGAATTTGACGTTCTCACACTGAGTTTTGAAAATAAAGATTTATCATGACGCGTCACTGGGAGTATTTATACCGGAAAATATTTTCAAAAAGTACACTCAAAGCTGATAAGAGTGATCATTGGCGCGCACGTGACCACGTGATTGATAACATGCGTAACTACCTGACCGACAGGTGCCGCTGGTGAGCCTATTGAGTTTCATTCTGTTTGCGAGTTCTTAACAATGAACTAAGACTATATTATCCGGCGATAGCGTACCCAGATTCATCATTAGAAATTGAAATATTCATTGCATACGCCATGAGAAAAGTGATACTTTACAAGAAAGAAAATAAACAATACGTATTTTTGAAAATTTAATGGAAGTAGCGCTACTTGTAAAATAAAATAAGTGACGAAATTTGGAATATTAACATTTAATTGAAAATCTTCAACAATAATTACTCATTTTCCAAATTTAAGAAAGTAAGTGATGAAGCTATTTGATATAAAAGAGTTAGTAAAACAGATGCAGAACATCATACGGGTCAGCGATCACTGACCTGGATATCCGCCCATTGTAAGCGTAATTCAATTTTTTCACATAAAAAACCTCGACAAACGTACCTCGTGTTTGCCACCACAACTACAACTACAACAGACTTTATTACTTTGTCATTATATACTTTTTGTGTATATCTATTTGCTAGCTTCCTTTTTGATGGCACGTTTTCACAGTTCACTGTAAAATTGCACACGCTGCTGTATAAAGCATCTATCTATGCATACTGCTTGTTTGATACATTGTTTTGAACGAGCGGGCTTTTTATAGTTCAACTGATCAGTAACACTCCTGAATTTGGCGTGAGAAAGTTACGGTTGAAAAATATGGAGTATAAAAGTACCTGTTTATATTGTTCCGGGCAAAATCAATAAAAAATAATAGCAATTTCGCTGTAAAAAGCATTGCACAATGACAATTGTAGAAATTGATGAGACATAAATTATCGCTGCGATCGACAGCGTTAATAGAATTCAAATGTTTGATGCTGAGCAGAAGCTGAGCGCTCTGGCAGTAAAAACGCCGATGTCTATGATCAGCAAAAATCAATCTCTCATCTTTCTTTAGCATACAGGAATTTCGTCGAAAGCTCTGGAAAAGCCCGTCGACCGTGTAGACGATAGAGCAAAAGCGGCGCGTAGTGCAGTGCGCCGGCGTGTAGTCCAAGTGAAGGCGAGAGTGAAACGACGTGCTGCTAGCTCCTGGCCGCCTGATACCCGCACAGTCGCATATGCAGAGGGAGTCGCGACGGAGATTAGGATTAGATGTCGCCGCCGCCGTTCAGCTCGGGAAAACGCCGAGGCTTCTATTTGCAAGGGCGAAGCCCCCGCTCCCCTTCCCACGGGGACTTCTGTAGCATGCTGCCTGCTATAATACACACGCGCGATGTGCACGCATGTGTGTGTTAAAGGCACGCGTGTTTACATCTGCTGCGCTATCGTCTAAGTGAGCACTTCGCAAGAGCAGAGGAGCTGGTAAATGAGAAACGACGATTTCTCTTTCTTGCTCTTTTTGCAGATTGAGAATTACGTTTAAAATCATTAATTATTCTGTTAAATGATTCATTTTGCGCATTGCTCTCCGTTTTGGTGTTCAAAATTAATCCTAGCTATTTTCTACTCATTTGTATTATGAATCGCTCTTTGTTCAGTGATTCTATTAATCAATGAATAATGAAGCGTACAGTTTAAAAAACTGTACATTACACGTTATATGAATGGATTTTGCAAATTTAAGGACTAGTTCTTGCAATTTTAGAATTTTAGTGAGTCACTTTTGTAACTTTTTATTCAGCCGCAATCATTGTTTGCAATGCAATGCATCGATCAACGAGATGCGATTTTCTATTTTAACTTATTTCTAGTTTTTTCTAGTGTAATTTTTCTTGTCCAAGAGAGAAACAAATAATCATTATCATTGATTCCAATACCGAACAGGTGAAGCAGTCAAGCTTCTAGGCATGTAAATAAAATCAGTAGAAAGTTCTAACGGATTTGTTTTTTTTTAAATAAAAAACGACACGTACCAATTCCCATCGCATTATAATATTGCGAGTTAGTTGTCTTCTAGCGGAAGAAAGAATGTTGGTGTCACCGCTTGCAAAAGTTGATCTCTCCAAAGCTAGAGCAAAGCAAAGCTCGTTGAGCCAAGCAGCAGACATGTGATGGCATTCAAGCACACACTGGTGCCGGTGATGAGATACCACTCGAAGCGCGTTTTTCCAATAATAGCATCCTCGGTGCGTAACGCACCCGTATGGCGTGCGTGATACGCGTATAAAGAGGGGGAGTGACGAATATACACCGACGGGCGTACACACGGCTGCGTTATACTCGGCACATGCTACCCTAGTACGTAAAGTTGCCTATTGGTGAGCTTCGTCGCCAAGGAGACGCGCTAGCGTGAGCTTGCGCACCCTCACGAGCTTTTTCAGTGATCCCATATATAGACTCTAGTTACAAACTACTGCTGCTGTCGTTCTATAATGGAAGTTTTGCCGTGAGAATTTTAAGACTACGTAAACAAACAATCTCAATGACGATAAGACATCGGCTGTTTAATTTTAATAATTTTACCAGGCGGAAAGCTGCTACCAGGTTGGAATTGTTCTGAAATCTTCCGTTAATTATTCATTTGTTGCAGCTATAGCTTTTCTGTAGTATGTAGACATACGTGAGGTGCATGCGAGTGACATTGCAATTTGAGTGTTTTTAAGCATTCGGCTCTATTTATTAAAAGATAATATTCATTTAAGTGAAATACGTAGAAATACAGAGCTTTATTTTCAATTTTTTAGTCTATATACTTTTATCTACTTTAGAATACGTAATGTGTTCCCTACGGTAAATCGTACAACCAATCTTACAAAGTTATAAAAAACATCTTTCTTAGACATATTAGCAAATCGAAAGTAATATTGAAAAGAAGGATATTTCATAAATGCTATTTACCGTTAAAAAAATATTTAGTTTAAATTATATTTTGATTAGATTTAGATTTTATAAAATGTTAAGTATAGAAAACAGTGTATTTCTTGAAATTAATACATGAAGTTCTAGTTCATTTTGTTTTTCAATTTTTGAAATTACTCGTTTAATCGTTCCAAATTACCCTCTTATTTTATTATCTAGTTCCATTGTATTGATCTAATTTGTCTGCCTATTTAAAGTATTTTTTTATAAAAAAAATCAACATAAAAATTCTTCCGTGATAAAATAAAATTAAAAATCATCATCTCAACAAATAAAAAAAAAAATTTCATGGTAAGTGTCAACCACTGTATAAATTAGAAGCGACTCCAGCGCAGGTTGGAGCGAATCACGCGGAAGCGATATATACAAGTGCAACGGTTGGCTCGTGTGTCATTCGGCTAACGTAAAAGCATCATTGTTTGCAAATGATCCTGACGATAGGCGTTTACATACAGCACACGGCGAAAACAGCGTGTACGAGCGTCGAATTCACGTGCGTGTAATGTTGGTGGCTGGTCAGCATGGAAATTTGATGATTGACATGCGATCGAAGGAAAGCCGGCAATGACTGACATTACGATCGTGAACAAGAAAGATAAGCGCTGTACGATATAGCAAATGATTTTTTCGTCAACCCTCGGAACAATCCGGAGATAATTCCGGAACACTTTCAAGTGGTTCCGTACTTTCGGATACACGACTCAGGCAACAGTTTTCACAAGCGCACGTGTGAAAAAGTTGGGAAAATGCGAGGTTATTATACGGCATTATACAACAATGATGAATCGCGATCGGTCGATTACAATGCTCAAGTTCCAGCGTGCATTTTCATTCTTGCATTAGCAAATGCGTCGCTGGATAATGCCCGGCTTCGACGAGGAAAGTATCCGGAAAAGAGTGTAAAATCTTCCACGATTTGATTTGACATTGCCAGTGATGAGCACGCATCACAGCAGACGAGACAAGCCTTTCCGATAATGCTGACTAGTACAGCAGGACATCGAAAACCACGTGCGCCCGCGGTGTAAATTAAGGTAAATGCGTGTTGAGCAGAGTGATTAGCGATTCAAATGCCCACGGCGACGATCATTCGGGGTGGGAGTAGAGCTCGGTTATAAAAGGCAGGAGCGAATCGCAGGCCATGTCAGTTCGGTGGTGGTTCATCAACTGCGACTCGGCGCAAATTGGTGCGCTTTTAATCGTTGTGAGAACGTAAGTGAAAGAATTGTGCTTCGGCCGGGTTAATACAAGTGCTCGCGACGGATTGTTCTTTCCTGGGCTGAAGGATGTTTTGCGCCTCGCGGACCTTGTTCGCCGGCACTTGTGACGCTAGCTGAAAAATTTTGTGTGGTTTCCTTTCGATCGAGATTTTTGACGTGACTGTCGAACGTAACCCCATTCGTAGAGCACATTTCAGTTGGAAACATTCACCAACTACTTTGAACGCTCTGTTCCACTTGCCGAAAGACTTGAGATCTGCATTGACGAGCACGGCTTTACCTGTTACAGACGAGCCACTCATTGCAGAAACAATGTCGGCAGCGGGACCAGAGATGATTGTTGGGTCTGTGGCCGGTGCAGCCGCCGGGGCAACTGGTTTTTCCGCCACATCGGTGTTCTTCACCCTCCTCGTTCCAGCCCTTGTACTCTACTACATCTACTTCCGCGTATCCAGGGCTCACATGCTTGAGCTTGCCGAGAAGATCCCTGGACCAAAAGGCTTGCCACTGCTTGGAAATGCTCTGGAACTTCTGGGATCGTCCGACAGTGAGTACAACTTTACCCTGCGTACGACATTTCTTCGGCTTGTTTGATCGACTGTGCATTTGTTTCCCAGCGATCTTCCGTAATGTGTACGCAAGGTCGTTCGAATTTGACCAGGTAATAAAGCTATGGGTTGGACCAAAACTTGTCATCTTCCTCATCGATCCGCGTGACATCGAAGTGATCCTCTCGAGCCACGTTTACATCGACAAGGCTTCCGAGTACAGATTCTTCGAGCCATGGCTTGGCAATGGCCTTCTTATCTCTACTGGTAAGTATTTCTCTCAAGCATACATATAAACATTGCCTGTGTAAACACATACCAAACATGAATACATATTTTTGTTGCCGCTCGAACGAGAACAAGTGTATGTATTTTGAATTTTCCTCCTTACAGTGACTTCGATTTACACTTATTATCGGCTCCTAGTGTCATCAAGTGCCCTTATATCTTGTTTATATTAATATTTAGTTTTATGTTTGAGAGTAAAACTGCTATGTGGGTAACGTTAAAAATTCTAAAATACACTCATACTTGGTAGATCGTTGAGTGATCGCAAGCGTTATTTCCTTTTAATACCTAACAATTGTTTTAATAGTTTTTATTCCTTCAATTAACTGATGATAAATTAATGCAAAACTCCTCGCCTAGTAGTAATCCACGTGACTGTCTTGTTTTTAAGTCAATAAGATGCCAAAAAATGATTTCGCAACGAAACGCAACAAAAGCAATCTCGACTATAATTGCATTTTATTAGCGTGGATCGCGTGCCACGAGAAAATGTTGTCCTTATACGTAACCGCTAATTTCACCTCTTGATCTTTTTGCGTAATAGGCCAGAAATGGCGTGCCCACCGTAAACTTATCGCGCCAACTTTCCACTTGAACGTGCTGAAGAGTTTCATTGACCTGTTCAACGCCAACTCCCGCGCTGTCGTTGGCAGAATGCGCGAAGAAGGTACCAAGGAATTTGACATTCACGACTACATGTCTGAAACCACCGTCGAGATTCTACTCGAGACTGCTATGGGTGTATCCAAGAGCACTCAAGACAAGAGTGGCTATGAATACGCCATGGCTGTTATGAAGTAAGTTTTTTGAAAAACATATCAATTAATAGTCTGCTTCTTGTCATTATCGAAGCTATTTCAGTGGCTAGAGAAGTAGAAAATTTTGGCCAATCACTTGTGATTATAACTTGTTCGTTCGCGGAAATGGACAATTTAAGCTATTATATCCGTTCTACATATCGAGAAAAACGAGTGTTTACGAGTCCTTAACGAGTCCCAAACGCTAGACCAGTCTACAATTAGATCAATAATCTGTACCAATTTCCCAAAGAGCCGATCGACGTAGTTTGTAATTGACCTGCGATACTTAACTTATTTCTATGCTTCGTCAGGATGTGCGACATCTTGCACATGCGTCACACTCGGCCATGGCTGCGGCTTGACTGGGTGTTCAGCCTGACCAAGTACGGCAAGGAGCAGGTGCGTCTACTCGACATCATCCACGGCTTGACCAAGAAGGTCGTCGCCAAAAAGAAGGAAGACTACAAGAGCGGTAAGCGCAATTTCGTCGACACGGGCGCCACCGTGAAGGATGTAGTCAAGAGCACCACCGTGGTCGAGGGATTGTCGTTCGGTCAATCGGCTGGCTTGAAAGACGACTTGGACGTGGACGACAACGACATTGGTGAGAAGAAGAGACAGGCTTTCCTCGACCTGCTGATCGAGTCTAGCCAGAACGGCGTTGTCCTCACCGACGAGGAAGTGAAAGAACAAGTAGACACCATCATGTTTGAGGTAAGTGCAAACGTAGTATCTGCGTGGCGAAGGAGAAAAAAGACGCGTTATTTGGTTATTTACGTGCGCTCAGGGACACGACACAACGGCTGCTGGATCCAGCTTCTTCCTGTCGATGATGGGCTGCCACCCCGACATCCAAGAGAAAGTCATCCAGGAAATCGACGAGATCTTCGGTGACAGCGACAGGCCGGCCACCTTCCAGGATACCCTCGAAATGAAGTACCTCGAGAGGTGTCTCATGGAAACGCTACGCATGTACCCACCCGTGCCCTTCATCGCTCGCGAGATCAAGACTGACTTGAAGCTCGGTAAGCGAGTCGGCCGCCGGCCGCCGGACCGGCTACCGGTTGCTCTTGCGCACTGCATCTAAGGAGATAACGAATCGATTTGCAGCGTCGGGCGACTACACGATCCCGGCCGGATGCACGGTGGCCATCGGCACCTTCAAGCTCCACCGTCAGCCGCACATCTACCCCAACCCGGACGTCTTTAACCCTGACAACTTCTTGCCTGAGAAGACCGCAAATCGTCACTACTACGCTTTCATACCATTCTCGGCTGGTCCGCGTTCCTGCGTAGGACGTAAATACGCCATGCTCAAGTTGAAGATCCTGCTCTCGACGATCCTGCGTAACTTCCGTGTGAAGTCTACCGTGAAAGAAGAAGACTTCAGGCTGCAGGCCGATATAATTCTGAAGCGTGCCGAGGGTTTCAAAGTCAAACTTGAGCCAAGGACCGATCGTGGACGCACTGTTACCAAGGCCTAAATTAATTAGTTTAATTTTCTTGTCGTCGAGGGTACAGTGAAGCAACCGAGAATATGATCATTAGTGATCCGTGGAACGACAACTTGCGGCGTCGCACGGCGGTTTTGATTTCTAACTTCTCAGCGTTCGTTCATTATTTACTTATATCAGGGGGTGCGCGCTGTTCTTGAATATATTTACGTTATTTTTCTCTCTCGTCGCGCGACACTTTACTTTCTGCCTTGTTATGCCGAATGCTCCCACCGAGCATTTTACCTTGTATAGCCGCCTAAGTCTTCACAAGCACATTCATTTATTGCATATATTATTTTATGTTTGTACATTGAATTTCTTTTGCTTTCTTTATTTTTTCGCTAAGAGTGCGGCGCTTAGGGCTGCTCTGACAAATCCTATAGCTGTTTAACTTTTTAAATGAAAGTCTTCATTTATACTGTTATTAAATTTAATCTCGTGCAATAAATTGTGCAGTACACCACTGCAAAACCACCTAGCCGATGACTTTTATTTGTGACTCACTTCAGAGATTTTCTTCCTCGCGCGATCGCTCTAGTTGTAGTTTACGTATAAAAATCCAAAAAATTCAAGAATGATACGGTCGACTCGTGGAAAAACGTTAGCGTCAGCATTGCCTAAAGATATCCCAAAGGTTAAGGAGGAAATCAAAGCATCGCTGCCGCTCCTACGAGCAGCGGATATCAGAAGGTTAGCAATTGTAATGTTGCCCGATAACTTGCCGTACGCCTCGCTGAATTAACCAAATTTATTAAATTTATTCCGAATAACGAGATACCGTGAGCCGTACAATGAGGTACTGGTAGCAGAGTTACACGAGGAAGGTTTCCATGAGGCAGCCGAGTATTTTAAATTCCTCTTCGAGCTCGACGAGGAGACCAGAAAAACCGCTGGTCCCGACACTTTGATTTGGTATAAGCCACGACTTGCCGACAACGAGCAATACGTCGACAGACTTCGATCGGTCTTATTGATTTTTTGTCAACGGACGAGTAAAATTTTAGTCTACTTCAAATGATCTTTCATTTTATGCAGAGTTTGCTTTTCCTCTTAGTACCGGCTGCAGACAGAACCTTGGCGATGATCGACACCGCGTTATTTTTTCAAAATTTAACCTGGGAGTGGTGGTGGATCGCAGAAACCCTCTATCGCAGTGCATTTTATATAGCCAAGGAAATTGAAAATGACGATAAACAGATAATCAACATTTTACGCTTTATCTACGCTAGATTCTTGTTCTTTCAAAGTAAATTTTTTATTATGCCATGGCTACCAAACATTGAAATTTGAACGATTTACTTGCAGTGAAAAACGCTCAAACCGCATTGGAATACATTCGAGAAGCTTATCAAGAGTCTCGTCATAAGTCCTGGAACGCCTCGGACATCGTAGGCTTTGAGCAGGAAAGTTTATTCAACGAAAGTTGCGCTTTGTTACATCAAGTTTTGCTACAGATTGCACGGCAAACTCGCGATTGCGACGTGCAAACTTCCATCGATTCGTGCCGAGTAGCACTCAATGCTTCTAACGAATGTACATAAATACATTTAAAATTTTTGTATTCACGAGAATCACGAGAGCACCGTGGTAAGTTAGACTTTATTGGCAGCCGGTCACGATGAGCTCGTCGCGGAGGTAGAGTATGAATTTGGTAAAAGTGAATTCACCGCGGGTAACATCGAGGAAGCGATTACACATTTCATAAATAGTCTCAATGCTTACGAGCAGATTCACGATGCACAGGGCACTTGCACGGTTCACGCGGAACTTGTTAATGCTTATAAGGTAAGAGTTGAATTGATTGAGGTCATTGATCGAGAACTGAGCGAGGTTTTTTTAATCAAGCATTATTTCAGCAAATTGGGAATAAAGATATAATTTTAAGACACTTGGAGGAAATGACAAATATTGCTTCAAAATTTCAATTACAACAAAAGCTCGCTGAAGCTTATTATTTAACTGCAGAGTACTATTTATCACGGGTAGTTAACTTGAAAAAGAGATTGTTTAAGTAAGTTCTTAATTAAAGTTTTTGGCCGTAGGCCAATCTGAAGGAAGCGATTCCAAGTGCCGAATACGCATTTTCTTTGTATAATCGTCTTGGTTTGCGAATACAAGCGAATAGTGCTAGATGTCTCGTAGGTGTAACGAAAGGTAATAACCACGAATAATTCATTAACTTTTTTTTTATTGAATACACCAATTTACATACAGTTTTTTGTCTTTCTCACAAATATGCAATAGTAATTATTTTACAAGATTTTCTGGTTGTTATAAAATAAAATAAAATGGATCTCGAGAGTTCCTTAAGGACAAAGAAAATTATGTGCACGATACCTACATCTAAATAAAAAATAGATATGCGAATCGTTTATTTTCTCATTCAAGTACTTCAAATCAAAGCGGGCTATAGACTTACGTGTATATATATATATATATTCCTAAATTAATCGTAAGATTTTATCATTATTAAACATAACACTCGTTTCGTGTCATATAAAAATGTATTTATTTTAAATCTCTATATTACAAGCCATTTAACCTCTTGAAAAAAATGAGAAAAAATCACAAATAACGCAGAATTGTTTAACAAGTTGAAATTTCATTTATGTCAATTTATATTCAAAGTAAACTAGCTTTACTATGAAGTATTCGTGTATTTAACAGTCATGAGATGATTAACAAAAAAAACGAAAATCAAAAACTCGAGCTTATAAGCTGATGTATTCTTAACATGTTAAATACATTGTACAAAAAAAGTAATTCAACATTATGATTTAATAAATAACACTAAATCAAGTAGAACAAATTCTTCGCATTTTGCGTTTAATTTGTATATATTTACAAACTTTCAACTTGTATCATAAGTATTATCTTATATTTATTTATACGATTCGCATGTTTGATTAATTTTTTTTCTACTCAAGGTAAAGACATAACGGATGCGTACAAAGTCTTAATTAAAAGAAGTGTCGAAGGCGATGCTGACGCTATACTAAAAATTTGCCAATGGAGGGATCGTGGTGAATTATTCTAATATCTCGATGTGTATGAAAGGTGTTCTTTAACTATCTACTTAATAAATGTTTGTCTTAGTTATTATTGGTTTATAGTATCTCTCAACGCATATTCTTATGAGTTTACTTTAGATACTTGGAAGTACAGCAAATTTTGTAGGCACGTTTCGAAATTTTTCATTTTACAATGTGATAAAAAACAATGAAGCAGGATAAATTTGTAAACAACTAAATATTGTATTATAAACGAATGACCAAAGGAAACTCAAGGAATATACGTGAGATGTAGTGCACAACATATCAATTAATTTAAATTACCTAATTTATTTGTATCGTACATGTACGTCTCTCATATTGGGAACTCCCATTTGCTTTGCGCTACAAAAGAGCCGGAATAATGATTAAGAGGACTGATCTAAAGTATAAAAGCTATTAAACACTGGTTTTTTTCAATGACATTGGATGAAAAATGGTTCTATTCTAAACAGAATTGATTTTACAAAAGAACTCAAAGCACTTCGAGCGATATAGTGCAACTACTCTACTACGCAGATACAAATTTAGGATTAAAAATATCGAATAAAGGGAACTCTGATCATTTGATAAATGATTATGTAGATTGGTTTCGCCATTAGTTTTCGTCGAGTCGACGTCTCCGTCGGGACTAAATATGAAATAGCTAATTTTTTTAGGGGGAAAAAATATATAACGCCTCGCTGGTTGGCTGAGATCCTGTGATACTTTGTAGATGGAGATGTCGACTCTAAGAAAAACGTACGAAGATTTTTTTCTCACTCGTCCAGTCTCATGCGACGCCGTCGAGTGGGAGTGTGGGAAGGTCCAGTATTAGTTTAATACAGCTTCGGGAAATTGAAAGAAACTGAAAATAAAGCAAATCAAATTTAAAAGAAAAACACAAAAAAGCAAGCAGGTTAGTTTGATAAACTAGGGAATACATAAGTTTTTAAGCAAAGCAATTGATACAAAGTTATTTGTCAGATGATTAGGAGGATGTTAGTTTATAAAATAAAATAGTAATACAATGTACTCAATCAGTTAAAAAGTACATTTTAATTATTTATTAGAAAAAATATTAGATAGCGAAGATACCAGAAAACGATAATATTTACGAGCCATACATTAGTTGTTTGAAATAACGATAGCAGTAGCCACCGATTCTCAAAAGCAATATACTATCTTTTTTGAACTAATTCAAGTTTTATAAAATCGAATAAAACTAATTATGTAACGTTGAATCGAGTTGTAGTAAATAGTTGAGGTTTACTATTGATTATAAAACATTTAAAAAATTTATTTCATCTTTTTTAGGGATTATGAGATGAAAAGAAATAAAATCTAATTAGTTTTACCAAAAATTATGGATAGTTAAATATAAAGTATTAGGAAACTTTAATTACACAGGTATACAAATAATATAGGTTATTTTCTGTATCACAAGCGAACTATAGTATTACCGAAGAATTTTGGTGCATCGGATCCAAATCTTGCCTCAGAATTGTTCCACCACATCAGGTTTTTCAGATATCCCAACCTGAAGTGCAAAAAACATTATTTTTTTTACATATTTGAAGTTATGTAGCATCATAAATAAATTTTTTTACATAAAACTAATAAAAGCATCTTAAAGTACAAATCTTCCTCTTTCAAATGCCGTTGAGTATACCTAAATATCTTTTTTTTCCGCTAAGATATCACATTTTGAAATATTTATATGTATGATTTTCTTAAAATTTGAAAATCCATTAACCCTTTGAAGCACACGTTTTTTAATTAGCTATTTTCACTCGTGATTTTGGAAAATTGAAATTTAATAGCAAATTCAACCCTGAGTTACTATTTCTAGAACACAATTTATGATTTTAAACATTTTTCATTTGGCCATTTTGAATTCGCCATCTTTGATTTAAAAAAAAAACGAAATTCTGTTGCAGTTCACATTCAATAACCCCAAAAATCCTCGAGTAAAATTCTTCATACAATAACACCTAATAGAAAAAATGCTTCAAAAGGTTAACGAATTTTCGAATTTTGAGAAATTCATAAACATAAATATTTCAAAATGCGATATTTTGGTGAAAAAAAAAAAAGATATTTGGGCAAACTCAACGGCATTTGAAAATGGAAAATTTGAACTTTTAAATGCTTTAAATAGTTTTCTATGAAAAAATTTATTTACGATGCTACATAAGTTCAAATATATCAAAAGTGTTTTTTGCACCTTTAGGTTAGGATATCATAAAAACCTGACGTGATGGAACAATTCTGTGGCCAGATTGGGATTCAGCGCACCAAAATTCTTCAGAAATACTATAGCTCGCTTGTGATACAAAATCTTGTACACCTGTGTTATTATTTATAACTGTTCACGTATGACTTAAATTTGAACGCAATCGTCTTTTCTTATTTTTCAAGTCTATAAGAATATGTAAAACATGTATTTACAAAAAAATAGCACACTAAAATTAAAAAATCCCTTTGATAGATTTTTTTAGAAGAAAGCTTATTCCTTAATTCTTCCAAATTAATATTAAATTATTATATACAATAAAAATTTTAAAATGCGACCAATTTCTTGCATGACTAGACAAATTATGACATGTATTATCCTAATATTTTTATCGCACATCGAGTGCTCAAAATACATTTGATTAAACCTTGTTTAACATCATTGAATGAATGATTTACGATGATTATATGACTAAAATGATTTTGAGATGCTCATAAAAACAAACTTTTTGTGAAAATTAAGTATTTCATTATCACAGGTATAATACTAAAACGAAATAATTTTTTCAAATTTAAAGAAATATAAATATATAAATTTTATAATTGAACATATAAATTATTTGTCAAAGGAATAAAAACCGCAAATTAAAAAATTGCACAATTAGAAAGACTAGCATCTCAAAAGTAATAGTAAAGCTATTCATCCCCCGAGTCCTCGCAAATAGGATCGAGCAAAGGCATATCCTTACTGTTACGAGCTTCCCTTGGTACTTGCCCAAGAGGCTCAGCTCCTAATGTATCATCGTCATCGTCGGATATTGGCTCTGTTTCCAACTCTATACACTTGCGTTCCTGCAAAGCTTGACCTACTACATTATTAGTTACATTTAGACAATTACCGTTGTTGCTCTCGACTTCGACCTCCTCGACGACATCGTTCTGTGGCTGTACGTCGTCATCGTCGTTCACCACTTCCTCGACTACATCGACGTCTTGTGTAATTTGAACCTCACCGACGACAGACATTTTATTCGTCTTATTGTTAGTAATCTCTAGAATTTCCGTGCATTCAGTGTCGGAGATTTTGATCTCGAGCTCGTTATTAGTCTGGCTTTTTTTTAGTGGAGTGTTTTCTTTTTCGGAGCTAACATGCAGTTCCTTCTCACTTTCGTCTTCGCCGTCAGTTACCGATTCTGCGAATTCATCGACCACTTGAAGGCCTTTGCGTTGGAGTAAATCTTCAAGGCTTTCTTGAGCCAAAGCCTCGTCTTCGGTGGTGTTGTCCGTGTCATCATTTGGTTTAGGATTTTCAGCGTCATTCTCGACTGTTGGCTCTGCCGCGGTTGTAACATTGATTTCTGTCACAGAATCAACGGTGTTATCGTCCTCATTAACGTTTCTGTCTGGCTCTTGTATGATCTCTTCAATGTCATTATCGTCGTCGTCGTTGTCAGCTTTTGAAGCATCTTCGATATTATCCCTTTCAGTGAGATCGACTTGCTCGCATTCGACAACTTCATCAGGCATAACAGTTTCGTCTTCGGCTTCAACATCTTCCACTTCCGTTATTTCAATCTCTGATTCCTCAGAACGTTTTTTGGCTTCACTCTCCACATCAACCACATCTCTAGATGCTTCATCATCAAGGTTAACCACCGGATGTTCTGGTTCTTCTGGTTCAGCGTCTCTACTTTCAGTGTTCGATTCGCATATGACTTCATCTCTCGAAGAGTCATCCGCAATATCGTGAGTTTCGATTTCTTGTTCTCGGATATCTGCATTTTGCATTGCGGTGACTTCAGTTTCACTTCCAGACTCGACTTCTTGCTCGACTGTTTCAACCTCTGCCTCATCATTCGACACTACTTCTGGTTCTTTATCTGTTATGTTTTTATTTTCCTTCTGATTTTCTATCATTACCTCATCTTCCTCTTGATTTTTGGAGGTTGATTCTTCTTGTATTCTCTCATGTAATTCAGCCATGTCATTTAGAGTCTCTTGAACTGCTTCTGCAATTTTATCGGGTTCAGCTTCAATAACTGCGGTAGTCACTTCAGATTCAGGAATATTAGTTGCAGTTTTCCTTCTTCCTCTTGTTTTCTTTTGTCGCTTCTCGTCTGACACTTTGCTCGAATGGCGTCTGAATGCTCGTCTACCTCTACTGTTTGGCGTGACTTCAGTTTCTGACTCATTGTGATCCGTGACTTTATCCAGTTCATCATCTTCATTCACTGTATCGATTCTGTCCAAATCATCATTATTTCCAGGTTCTTTGTCATTCACTTCAGCTATTTCAATGTTTTCATTCTCTTTCTCTTTGTTAAGTACTTCTGTCTTGTCAGTTTTCTCTACGTCTTCATCATTTTCGACTTCATTTACTACTTCTGTATCTTCGTCTACGTCCATTTTCTCATCAACTCCGTCGCTAACGTTTGATTTTCTCCTTTCTGGTACGATTACTTTTTCCAATAACACTTTTAAATATTTTGCATGCGTTATCTCATGTAGGAGTCCATCATATTTCTTATCAAAAATTTGTTCACATACATTGCACGTGTATGTAATCACTATTGGTTCATCAATAAATTTGGTCTGTTCTGAATCTGAAACATCAGATACAATATCCTTCATTTTACACTTTTCAGATTTTTTTCCAGTAATAGACTTGGATTTTCGAGCATTCTTCTTCAATGATCGTTTTTTTGAGGCAACCTTATTTTCTTTTCCATCATCAGACATATCTTGATCATCCACATCGGATTTATTTTTAGACATACTGGCATCATTGTCATCGTCATTTTCTTCAGCTTTAATTACATCTTTTTCAACAGACTTTTCTTTTGTATTTTCTTCGATTGTTTCTGGCTCATCTTGATCAATTGACCTAAAACTCACATTACTCTGAGCATCTTCATTAATCTCATCATTGAGTTGAGAATTTTCTATACATTTTGATACCGAGTCCTCTACTTTTTCTACTAATTTGTCTGCTACGTCATGCTCAGAATCTATTTCAATGTCAGAAATAGCCTTAGAACCATTTCCTTTATCTAAACTTTCGTCGTGCTTGCTCTCTTCGTCAGTTGATTTTAGAATATCAATTTCTTCCGATTCAGAAGACTCAAATTCTTTAGATCTCAACACATTTGTCTGAATTTCTGTTACATTTGTACTATCGTCAGTTTCTTTTCTAGAAGGTGATAATGGCTGTCGCTCTGGCGTTGGCTCTTTACTGGACATTGGAGAAGATTTATTTGACTCAACTTTATGTAATTCTGTATCGCTACGTTCATCATGCAAAGCTGTGTTTGCCTTTCGACTGCGTTTTGGTCGGGTAAGTTCTTTCTCAACTTTATCTGTATCAGATACATCATCATCAATTTCAATGATTTCTTCTAATGCTTGTGTGTGCTTCTTAACATTTCTAGTAGACATTCTACGACTGTCTATTGACTCAATTGAACTACTTCGGCCTCTCTTACGTTTAACCGTAGTTGTATTTTGTACTTTTGACTTTGTAGTAGACTCTGATTTTGCACTAGATTTCTTGGCTCTTTTAGTTGATGGTCCTTCATCACTATCAACGTCTATATCAATTTGCACTTCTTCTTGTTCACTTTTTTCAGAGTCTCTTCTTGAGGGTTTAACTTCAATACTTTGTATGCTCTGTACACTTAGTTCTGAGTTTTTTCTGGATCTACTCCTTGTAGGCTTTTTTTCATAATCTTCTTGGACACTTTGCTCAGATTCTTTCCTTCTTCGGGCAGATCTAATAGGTCTAGATTCAGCAATTTCTTGTACACTTTGGTCAGAATCTTTTCGTTGCCTGGTTGCTCTAGTGGACTTGACTTCAATATTTTCTTGGATGCTTTGCTCAGAGTCTTTTCTATGTCTAGTAGTCCTACAAGACTTCACACTCACTTCTTCTTCTTCATTGTGTTCTGAATCTTTACTAACTCTAGTAGTTCTTGAGAACTTAACAGAAATATCTTCTTTATCTTCACTTTTTTCTGAGTCTTTTCTCTCTTTAGAAATTGAAGGTTCATCTTTCTTTTCATATTTACTTTGCTCTGAATCTTTTCTTTGCCTTGTAGTGCTGAATAGTTCATCAGTTACATTTTCATTATCTAGACTTTTCTCAGACTCTTTTCTTTGCCTTGCTTTGAACTTTGGAGATTTATCTACTGTCATTACTCTATTGTCACTTTCTTTATGTTGTACATGACTGATCTCATCACCGGTTACTTTGAAAATAATATTTCCCTTTTTATCTTCTATGATTGTGTATTCACTATCATTAGTTGAACGATAGAGATCTTTTAAAACAATAGAGCATAACTTTGTTGTTGGATAATTGACTTGGGTTTTTTTACGCTTCTTGGATGTAGTAGCTTTATTGAAATCTGTACTGAGCCAACACTGTTTGCAGAGTGTCTTTCCTGTTTTGAATAATCTGTATGTGTCAATACTGTTACTAAATGCTGTTTTACATTGTCCACATTTTGCAGATGATTGAGAAGACTTGCTCTTCTTACTGACTTTCTTCTTATTAGCCATGCTTATAGATGTATCGCTATCTGTATCTGATGGGGTATTTAGATGTAAATTAGATGACTGTATATATGTGGTCTTGCGACTGGCAATTATTGTTTTTGTCTACAAAACACATGAAAAAAATACCAAAATTATTTTTAATGATGATTAAAAGCTAATTCTATTAATAATACAATTCTTTGATATAATAAGATTTATACCTTTGGAAGATCTGCTGGATCTATACCATTTTTCACAATAGATTTCAATTTATCAGGTACTTCATCTAGTAAAGTTTTTAAATCAGCTAATAAATCCACACAGTAACGACATGATAGACATATAAATTGTTTTTTTAATTCCTTATTTTTCAGCTGCAACAAATTAAAAACTAATTAGACTACTTGCTTGCAATTAATAGCTTTATTTTAATATAACCTATCTTACTTCATCTGAAAATTGGTCTTGTAAGCGTTGGAACAAGCCATTTACTCCATTTTTCTGTTTTGATAAATCAAAGAGGTAAATTTTGTCTGGTGTGTTAAGGCATAAAACGCAGGAATCTTCTTTGGCATTCTGCGCTATACTAGCTTTCTTAACTTTTTCAATAAACAGGTTACATTGGTCTATCTCGAAAGCACACTTATGACAGATTTTATTGGTCTCACTTTCATCCCAAACCTACAACACCAAACAACAACATTAGATATTAATTATTAATGATAACATCTAATGGGATTTTAAATAAACCCTAGCATAAAATTTATTCATGAATATATTTAAATGATGAATCAGACCATTATTATAATTGTAAATGAAAAATTAGGAACACATTGGAATATTCATTGAAAACATAAACTAAGTCACAAACCGCTAAAAATTACTTATGAAAATACCACCAGTAGCCGATTAAAATATACGAATCTATCGACTACATATACAAAACTATTAAAAACCATCAAAAACTGCAAACCTAAACTTCGTGAGCTTAATGAAAAATTTGTGATTTTATTGAAAAATCGTATTAATGAAGAAATATATTAAAAAATTTGCGAGAGGTTAAAGTAGCTTATTCCGCGAGACTCGAGAGAGAAGCTCCTTCTCCCTCTCTTTTTCGTGGTGCGCTGCAAAAACGGGTCTCTACGTATACGTTTCCACGACGTTGCCTGCGTATGTGTCCGATAAGCACTAACACACGAATTATAGAAGCTGCTACGGTTGCTGAGACGGATTTTGATTATAGTTTGCAAATCGAATTTATGATTCTTTTCATAATTTAGAAGTTTATTTTGGAATACTGTGTGCGTTTATATCTTGTATTCTACATGAAAATATAATTGGAGAGTTTCTCCTTCTCTCAACGTGATTGACAATTGTTAATCAAATATATGCAGCGTGCAGAACGAAGCCTGCATTATAAGAAAAAAATTTCATTTTCCCCATATCTCCTTTACTCTCTAGCAAAAAAAAAACAGTTGCTTTCTCTCTCTCTCTCTTTCTTTCTTTAATTCCCTCTTGGAAAATTCATCAGTCAGAGATATTAGATGTGCAAAAGAGATGGAAGGACCGACTAAACTTCCATTACACGCAAGCGCGAGAAAAGCGCGCGATATCTTAGTCTCGTATGCAACCTGTGCGTTGTGTATGCATTTTATGTTACTTGATCTACCATTTGAATCGCAAACTGATATTGCAAAGCCGCGTAATAACGCTTAGTATGTTCTGAAGAGAATTGTCTTTTTGAGATTGTTATACTTCAAGCAGATATATGACAAACGATGCATTAATCATATGAATGCCATTTCTATTATCAGTTATTCGAATATTTTTTTGTTCGATATATTTTTTCCGAGTGCACAAATTACTAAATTCTAATTTTTTAAGGTAGAAGGTAAAATGTCACGACCTTTTTCATTTACAAACAAAGATACAATTACGAATAAAGATTTGAACATGAATTGGATAATCGCTTATCCTAACCTACAAATGGTAACGAAATGATCGAATAACCTTTACATACCTTATCTAATCGGCAATTTTTTGCCTTATCCTTGAGTTCTGGCTGCTTCTCGATGTCCACAAATACGCCTTCATTTGTGGCACAGACTAAACAATTGTCTTCAGGCATTTCGACCGAAATATTTTGTTTGCTTTCCCTCTTGAACGTACTGCCGGTGGTGTAGTGTCTACGGCCACCACACGCTCTCCTGTGACTGTACGTATGCGTCAGGATAAAAATTCCAAGCCGCGCAAACTCGCACCTAGCCTAGCAATCATAAGATTACACGCGATCAAAAAAAATCTTTCTCTTCTTTGACACGATAAATTAAATTAACTTATCACTGCTCTTTTTTTGTATTAATATCCGCGTCGTAACGTATACGTACCCACATACAAAGAAGGGGGGGCAAAGAAAAACGCGGCAAAACACACACTCATTAGTTACGACACTTTCGTTATTTCAACACGTGATATATAATTTTACCAGCGAATTTTGTTGCTAATTTTCACATTACCGAAAAAAATATTTCACGATTACATCTCTCACTCGATATACACCGTTTGCGAATAACTTGCTTATGTCGCTGATTTAGAGAGCCAAACGCTCGGCGCAGTTTCAAATGTAAAATGGCCGACAATCCCGCGCGCGCCTAAATAACCGATAGTTTTTCTAGTTTTCCTTTTTCTCTTAACTTTCCAGTCCATGACGCCATCTCACCGTGACAAGTTGAATTTAATGTTTCGGTTATCCGAAATTTGAAGATTCACAATGACTAAGATTCAGATTAAGAGTTATTTATTCTTTATGTAAATTTTGTATAAAAAAGTAAAATGTTGTTTATTAATACAGTTACGTATTTTTGAACGCTTTCTGATGACTTTTTGAAAATCTTTAAAAAACATTGTTTTGGCATTATAAAATGGCATATCGTCATAGAAAAAAGAAATTAATCTTGCATTTCAAACACTTGATTCGTAAATAATAATCTGCACTATAGATTTTCTCGGTTCTGGTTTAGCTTTAGAATTTGCAATATCTCGTAGAATAGCCTCGACTGCCGCTTCCCACTCGCTGTCTTTGATTTCGCGATTTTCTACGCCGCTCTTTCGACGTCGTGGCATGGAGATGACTTGGAATACGCGTCTAAAAGACATTGATTATGTACAACATTATTCCCAATCTTAAATAAAAAAATTTATTTAGAAAATGATTGTTACTTGAGATCATGTTGTAACGCTGACATATCACCGCCAGCTTGTTCGCCAAGTTTTCTAAGAGTATCGGCGAGTGGTCCACTCAGAGATTGTAGTTTTTTCCACGAATCCGCGTATTGCATCCGCACTAATTCGATAATTGTGCTGGTAAGTGCGAGTCCGATTAAAATGTAACCGGTACAGAACAGCATGTAATTTGGTTTTGCTGTAAACGAATAAAAAAGCCTTTTGAATGTCGCTGGCTTGAGAAAAAGATACATCGATGATTGTATTGCGCCTGGAAACCTACTAGGCACAACGTCACCGAAGCCAATAGTAGTCATCGTAACAAAGCAAAAGTAAAATGCTTCGAACAACGACCATTCGTTTTCCCAGAGCTTAAAGATGCCAGCGCCACAAGCGAGGTATATGAATAAAAGCAGCACCGCGCCTAAAGCTCCTGTAAACATACAATCGAATGCTAATAATGATCCACTTAAAAGTATTATAAAAACACCGTAATCAACTGTTTCACTAACATTCAATTTTTGAAAATTGAATTTTGATTGCTACTTACCTAGTGTATTTTTTCCAGCTTGGTTTGCTGGCATACAGGAGTTCAAGCACGACGGCATTTTCGTGCGAGATTTTTTAGCCAAGGCGCTTACACCCTTGGCGAATAATTTACCGTAGTCAGCGATAACGGTTAAAGTCAGTGGGATGCCAATCAAAGCGAACAGAATGCAAAATATTCGTCCCAAAAATGTCGATGGGAATACGTTCCCGTAACCTGTAAACGTTAAAAATCCTTGAAAAGTATTTATTTGTACTTTTAGTTTCTTTTTATCTACCTATAGTAGTTAAGATTGTGCTTGCAAAGAAAACCGCTTGGAGAATACTCCATCGATCAGCAAAGCATGGCTCCTCACCCAACTTGAACGGTTCCATTGAAAGACCTGCTCTTGTGGCGCTTTCCACTGCTTTCTCGTATGGTTGTAGATATTCCACTTCCTGTAAATTTTTCCAACCTTGTAAGTAATTGTTGCATTAATTGAACATCAGATTTTTACCCATTCTGAGCTTGTTGCATTGATATTATTGAGTAGTTCTTGTCTTTTTTGCAGTAGATCCGCTTTTAATCCATCTAGTTTTATCTGTTCGGATGGCAGTTCAATTTGACGAAATATCTACAATATTATTATTAATATTATGATTATTATTATTGTAATGATAATCATCTTTTCTACAATATTAAGATAAATTTTATATTTGTTCAATACCATCAGCTTATGGAAACAAACATAAGAATTTTTCGAATTGAAACTCGATGTCATCATTGCTGGAAGTTTGGATGAAAATTGGAGGCCGAAATAAAACGCAATTATTTCGTTAACGTTTTCGCATCTAATTTTACGAAATCGTATACAATTCGGATATATATGCATATACAGTGTGTGCCTAAAATTATATAACACATCAACATCAAAGATTATTTTTGCGATCGACGCGCATGCACTCCAATGTCTATTTCCACCCTATCGCTCGCGCGCGCACTGGACAAAGTGGCATCGCGCAATGTTGAGCAAACAAATCTCACAGGTCGTTAATAACGTTCAGTCGCCTTAATTATCTTCTTCCTATCGTCTATTTTTATGTTTTCGAATGCAGCTGTGAAAGGAAAGATAATGCAATTGGAAATTTCAAATTAAATAAGTTTCACTTTTTGACGTACTTCCAATAATCGTCTCGAGACAATCGAAAGTGGCGTTGATAAATCAAAAGAGCAGATTGCACGTAATGTTCGAAGAAACAAATGTTTGAAAAGCTAACAATCAGATAACTACCGAGAATATATATTACCCACGCCAGATTTTCGTGTCGACGAGCATCATCCAGAAACCAGTAAAAACGGCTTTTTCAATAAGACCAAAGCGATTTCAGCTGACTCGATTACAACTATGTAAATTTTCGTTTTATTCTCTGCTTCTGTGATATATGTGTAACACATGGTTATGCTCAAAGTGGAAGGTTATTTGGCGAATGTGCGTTCTATCTGCAAGATTTTCCGTGGCATACCCTAATGTTTTAGGATATTTAAAAGAAAGTTCATTGTCCCAAATGCAGTATTAAAAGTTGAAGAACAGTATTTTATTGCAAGTTAGTGACATTGTAAAACTTCTTTACTGTATGCTTTAAAGTTCACTTGAAAAGGAACGTTTAAAAATAATTTCTAAATCTGGTATCTGTATAGACAATTTATGTTGGAAAGCAGCAAATATTTACCGTAAAAAATTATTCGAATAGTGATAACGTTTAAACATCTAGTACGACGAAGAAATATTTGCTTGACACTTTAGCAATGGTGTTTACAATATGAGCTTGTGATCATCAGAATATAAAGCTTACTCGTTTAAAGTATTAAAAAAGTAAAAATTCTTTCAAAAGAATACAAACCAACGAGTAACGGTGAAATCCAAGAAATGAGCTTGCTTATTATGAAAAGCTTTGTTGGCGAATATATTCGTTCACATGTTTTGTTTTCGAAGCAGCGTGCTTAAAGTTCTCTCCCACGAGAGATGAGAGTCGCGCAGCAGAAATAGTAACACGACGATTCGTCGTTCAGAATATAGTAGTCTTATACGCGAAATGGAGGGAGTGTGAAGTCGTAGAACTGGGACGTGTATAAATATATCATTAGAATGAAAAAAATTATTCTTTATAATTTCTTATTTTCGTAATGCGTTGCTCGACCGAGAACGCCACACCGGATTTTTTTAGTAGGTAGATTACTATGTACTATAAAAATTTAATGCACACGATTTGTTTTTAGCGGTAATTAATCAATAAATTAACAAATTTGGGATATCATTAATTACTAAGGAATAATCGATTGCTTAAATAATATTACTTACTATTCCTCCAATAAAGGTGTAAATCACCAAAGTGGCTAGTAAACCAATATGCCCAGTGATAGATTTGAGCTTTTTCAAAGTATTCGGTTTTAAGCCTAAGCAACCAGCCGGCTTAGTCTCAATAATATAGCTACTTTGCAATTTTTTGTTAAAAGACATTCTAAAAGTTATTAAAAAACTTGAAAGAACAAAGGAAATTGCTGAATCTTTAGTCTTGTCGGCCTCGTGTCGGTTTCCTCATCGTAAAATCATCACTACAGGATTATTATTTTTACATTAATTTGTACTAAAACTGCATAAAGCAACAAAGCAACTGTTATAAATTTAACAAAAAAATCATCGTCGGTTTTTAGCGAAAAGCGCGAAAAACAAATATAAAAGCCGCCGGTTGGCGCGCTATCGAGCAAGTGGTTAACGAGCGACTAGCCAAGATTTTCGAGGTGAGGATCATTCTTCTCTCGTGAGAAGAAACAAGGAACAAATCTCATCGACGCATTCAAATCGGCGCCAGCGCAGTCGTGCCATCCATCGCAACTGAATCATACGAGACTCTGCTTCCTAACCTTCGTTCGCTTTAACAATATTAAATCGATCAAATCAACTTGGCTTCAAGCAATTCTCATTCTATACGATTGTTTTTCACTTTGTTTTTCTGATGGAAAATTTGGTTCATTTTTAAAGACTCGACATTCGTTTGACTCGAGTAGTGATGGGAAGTGGGTGTCGCTCTCTCGGTATCGTCGACGTCACAATCTGCTCTTTCTTGCTCACTCTCACTATCCGTTGCACGCTTATAAGGTTGGTACGGGCAAGTGGGCCGTCTATCGTTCGTCTTTTCACTGAGACAGAGAGCAGAGTAGATAGTATAGTCCATCATATAGTACTGAGTGTTTCCCCATTTTTCGCCTTATTTTTTTTTCATCGTCCACTGCCAATACCGTTATGTGTAAGTAGATGTCCTTCGACTTAATATCGGCTCGACTCGTCGTCTTTGCGCAATTATATCCATGTTCGCAATTTTTGGAGTAAGTCGTAGCCCTCTTGCTCCGGCAGATCGATAATACAGCCAGTAGTCTAATACGAGAGTGAAATCCGTTGTCGCGTTGTCGTGCGCGGATGTATCATTTTTAGAATGGGGCGTATTTATTGATGAATTGATATCACAGACTGTAAGTTCAATCATTGCTGTTGCTTGCTTGCTTGAATGCTTTGCTAATTAGTTACTCTAGGTGCACACATGTTGGATTTGTTACTCAATTTTCTATATTATTTATTTATTTACGCAATAATAACGGGATTTATTTAATGACATAGCAATAAGTAAATCTTCAATCGTTCTCACGACAGTTAAACATCAATTACTTCTGCTGGTTGGCTTATATAAATCTCTATGCAAGACACTTTCATAAAATGTTCAATTATTTTGATTCTTTCTGATATCCAGTGATATTACAGGCATAAATACCGAACACTACAGCAAATAAATTTGTCTACAATTTAATGTATAATTGATGATACAGCTAATGCAAAGCTAATGAATCTTTACAGATATTCTAGTGTAAAAGCTGTTCAACATATCCACCAAAATGATTGGTGGTTTGTTTGTCTACAATCACAAGGGAGAAGTCCTTATTTCTCGAGTGTATCGTGATGACATTGGCAGGAATGCAGTGGATGCATTTCGTGTCAATGTCATTCATGCTAGACAGCAGGTACGTTCACCGGTGACTAACATCGCTAGGACTTCATTTTTCCACATCAAAAGGGCCAATATTTGGCTAGCTGCAGTTACCAAGCAGAATGTCAATGCTGCAATGGTATTTGAATTTCTCCACAAGATCATTGATGTAATGCAGTCTTACTTTGGCAAAGTTTCAGAGGAAAATATCAAAAATAACTTTGTTTTGATTTATGAGCTTCTTGATGGTACTTATTATTCTAATTTTATCAAGTTTGATCATATTTTGGTATTGGAGTGCCATAATGGAGTTTTTTTCAGAAATACTTGACTTCGGTTATCCACAGAACTGCGATACAGGAGTTTTAAAAATGTTTATCACACAACAAGGTGTAAAGTCTGGTACAAAGGAGGAGCAAGCACAAATAACATCACAAGTAACTGGACAAATTGGATGGAGAAGGGAGGGTATCAAGTACAGGCGCAATGAGCTCTTCCTTGATGTACTAGAGTATGTTAATTTATTGATGAGCCCTCAAGGACAAGTTCTTAGTGCTCATGTTGCTGGAAAGGTGGAAAATATTTTAAACAATGTTTTTATCTTACTTTGTTTGCATTTTTTTAACACAAAAATTGTTTTATTCATGGGATAGGTGGTAATGAAGTCCTACTTGTCTGGTATGCCTGAATGTAAATTTGGGATCAATGATAAAATTGTCATGGAGGCAAAAGGTATGAAAGGTGGTGGAGGCTTAGGAACTGTAGGAGGTGATGATCCTACTGGGGCTAGATCTGGAAAACCTGTTGTTGTCATCGATGATTGCCAATTCCATCAGTGTGTCAAACTGTCTAAATTTGAAACAGAACATTCCATTAGTTTTATACCGCCCGATGGAGAATTTGAGTTGATGAGGTATACAGTTCAAATTAAAATTGGTGTAAAACAATAATTTCTTGTGATTGAACATAAAATCATAATAATTTTCCCTCTTATAAAGGTACCGCACAACAAAAGATATTTCATTACCGTTCCGCGTGATTCCGCTGGTTCGAGAGGTCGGTCGCACTAAAATGGAAGTCAAAGCCGTGCTGAAGTCAAACTTCAAACCATCTCTTCTAGGCCAGAAGATCGAAGTTCGTGTCCCAACGCCGCTGAACACAGCTGGAGTGCAACTGATATGCTTGAAGGGTAAAGCGAAATACAAGGCCTCTGAAAATGCAATTGTATGGAAGATTAAACGTATGGCTGGTATGAAGGAGACTCAACTGTCTGCCGAAATTGACTTGTTGGAAACTGATACTAAAAAGAAATGGACGCGTCCTCCGATTTCAATGAACTTTGAAGTACCTTTTGCACCTTCAGGTTTCAAAGTTCGTTATTTAAAAGTCTTCGAATCGAAGCTAAATTACTCTGATCACGATGTCATTAAATGGGTCAGATATATAGGCCGAAGTGGTCTCTACGAGACAAGATGCTAAGATACTCCGATTAATTTGTTAATAGTAAATGAGTAATCTCAGTAATTTCAGAGTTATGATTTTGTTATCGTTTTTATGCTGCAAACTAACGTAAAGTCACCCGGAATTATTGTATCTTAATCAGCAGAAAAAGAATAACCGCTTAACATTGATGCCATAAAAGATATAGCACACTTGTCTTTCGACAGTTTGAGCTTTGTTTGCAGGTAATAACGTTACTAAAAACAAAAGAAGTATATAGCTTTCTTGAAGATTAATTGGAGCCAAGCCAACTTAGTATTGAAAATGTTACCTCGGTAGTTTTTGTGTTGATAATATTTTTCAATCATTGAGTGTGAAAAAGAAAGCTGAGTAGATTTTTCAATACAAGGGTGTCTGGTAAGTGTGACTCTTGTGTAAAGTGGAGGATGAGTCTCTTGTCTCTTAAGCATCATTGTTCGGCCCATTGTTGATCATATAATTGACATCGCTCCGTTCATTGACATAAATTTCATTAAAATTGCGTGACTATGTAGACGATTACGAGTACCAAACGTACATACACAAACAAGTATCAAACATTGTTTTAAGAATATGTCGTTAATGAGTAATATACTTTGTTCGAATTTTATCGAGTAAAACAGATTTGTGGCTTTTGTCTGTATATCTCAAAGTCATTATAATGTATGTTGAAATACATGTGCAAATGATACAAAGATCTTATTTATTCGCAATTGAGTATTATAGCAAATCCTTTAAGATTATGAGTATAAATAATAATTTTAAAACGATTTTTAGAAAGAATCATGAAAGATATTAAATATTAAGGAATTGAATGAATTTAAGACAATTAATACATATTGATCAAATAATAATCATGAAATTCATTGCAATCATTGAATATATTAGCTTGATCATGAATTGGGATTACATATCTGGTAGTATTTAGAAACGTGATATGCATTCATTTTCTAAATTTTTTTCATTTTATATTATTTTTATTGTATCTATGTTATTAAAGAAGTTAATGGTTAAATAAAACTGTAAAATACTGACTAATTAATGAACCTCTTACTGATCATCTTATATGCGAGAAAACTTATCTTTTTACTATAATTTTTCGCAATAAAATTAGTTATTTAAATATTGAAATTTAAAAATAATGTTTAACAAGAATTTTATCAGAAAATCATCTGGATTAGTTTTCATTCTGTGCTAAATTAAATTGGACTGTTTCTTTTTTTCTTTTTGTGATTGCGTGTTACTGAATATTCTGAGCAATGAAGATATTAAAAATTCTCTAATTAAATAACATGTGCTACAAAACTTATTCAATGACAGTAGTGCATTGTGTCCTTGCAAAATTATTCAGCTAGTACCATGTGTTTGGTATTTCTGTTATTACTTTGTGTTTTTCTCGTTTCGCTATGGAAAATATATTTTCCCTCTAAGAATTCTACGTTGACGTAACATTAATATTAATATTTGTATGGTTGAAATTGTTTTTACGATCGAAAAATACTCCTAGTATTTCTGTATTTATCTTCAAACTTTATTAGTTATCCGATAACAATTTCCAATAATAAGTTGAAATTCTTCACAATTATACGACGTACACGATGTTGATCGCCGTGACAGTCTGAATTATTAATTATCACGTAAATTTTATTCATTTGAAAATTTTTATTCTTTAATTGAATTCTAGAGTTTTGTTTACACCAATGATTCTCATTTCACTTAGCATATTTATATTATTGATAAAACTAATATTGATTCTTTTATGTAAAGAAATTATAAATGTTGTAAAAAGGAAATAATTAAAATATTCAATCATTTTAACATAACATTATTTTTAATATTTAGTTGATGCATTAATAACTATATTACTATGTTAATCTGTCATATATGGAAATATAAGCAAGTGATGTAATATTTATTTTACCAGGATAAGGGACTTTCTACATAAGAGCTATCGGACATTGGACATCGGACATCATACGTGAACGAAGCTGTAAAAATGAATTAATTATTTGACATTAACTCATAAAATAATAATTAATGTTGCACATGGTCTTTTCAGACCTCGCACAAATCTTTAGTAAGATAATAACAAACAATCAATTTGTTTTTTTACCTCAATATTCGTCTAACATCCAATGTCCGGTAGCTCTTATGTAGAAAGTGTCGTAGAAAGTTCCGTATGCTATTGATATACAAGATTTGAAAAATTATTTTAAATTAATGATATAAAAAATATCATAGCACGAAGAGATATCATTACAATTGATTAGATGCTGGTTGTTATCTGTATAAACTGCACATTTAGGTAATATCAAAACACTTGGACATACAAATTAAAAGATTATTCACTTAATTCTATATAAGTCTGACTTAAGCAGACAGCAGTTCCTTGCAGTACAAGGGAAAAAAAAGACATTCCTGGGCGACCGACTAAATCGTGACTTGATCTACTGCGAGCAGCGCACACCACTGCACCCTCCCCCATCTGTGTGTCAGTAGTAAAAGCCAAAGCATAATCAGTCAAAGCGTGCGTGTTCAACGTCCATTCAACAAATCTCGCGCTTCTCACGTCAGCGGGTTGCGCGTGCGCGCCAAAGCTAGTCTTCTGCTAGGGCGCATGCGGCCACATCGCTCTCGCGCTGTGTGTTGCCTTTTGGTGGTTTTGGTTTTCCCGATAGGTATATATTTGTGCGCTTCTCGGCAACGACCCAAACATTACTCCTTATCACAAATCGTTGTAACTACGAAGAAAAGACGTACGGAGTATCGTGCCAGCATGACGACCAGGCGGAAAAATTGCCGAAACGTGAGTCCCTCTTACTTTAATTCGATTATTAGCATCAGTCAAGCCGTACGAAAGAGTCACTCCGCTGCTTCGAGCGTGCGAGGCTCACATATACACAACATAGATTGACTTTTAGCTCGAGTGCAAGTCTCGAGAGGTCGCTTTCCGCGGCTCTTAGCAGAGAGGAGTGTCGGAGGAGTAAGAGAGAGAGACAGGTACGTACGATATATCAGTGCGTGAGCGGAATCCGCGACGGACGGCAGGCGACAGCGAGAGACAGAGAGAGAGAGAGAGAGAGAGAGAGAGAGAGAGAGAGAGAGAGAGAGAGGGAGGGAGAGAAAGAGAGAGAGAGAGATAGGGAGAAATTATTAAAAAGAGAAAAAGAAAAAACCGAGTTTCAAAGTGGATATGGCTCCGCTTCGACGATACTGCTACAGTCGAGACACCAACAGCTCGCGACATCATGGACGGGCAAAGCATCTTGTCAGGGACTGATGATTAAAACGTGTGTGTTATAAATACACCTACCCCTTTACTCTCTCTTGTTCTCTCTGTACTTATCATTCACACTAATTCACACTCTACTGCCACTCTTTCAGTATTTGATGTTTTCCCTTCTCGATGTTACTGCTAATTGTTTCTTTCTCTATGCGTGCTCTCCCATGCTCATTGTTATTATCAACATCATCATCGTCATTGTACCCTAGGGGGTAAGTTGGCACAACGGCCAGTAGTTAAGGCGATCTCTTGTTTTGCTACACTTATTGCCTTCGTCTGGCCGTCGTGCAAAAGAGGCTGTTTACGTATATAAGGTATCTCTTACTCACACACACATATACATACATCGATTCATTTAAGTGTATTATTAAATTATGATTGGCGATTAGTGTTTTTCTGTGTGCATATGTGTATGTGATATAACTGTTGATATAACCATCTCGATATATTTTTCGTTTGAGCTACCTTACCTTTCAATTATTTTTCCTCCCATCCGCCTTTGCAGTACCCAAAAAAGCTAATTCATTGAATGGACATTATAGAAAAACTCTGTCGTCAATCTCATAAAGCTCATTGTAGTTTGGTTTGTTTTTTGTTCTTGACAGCTATTTCCTTTCCTTTATGTTTACATTAATAGAACCATTCACCGACAGTCTCTTTCTCTTTCTCCAACGTCATTATCATTCTTTCCGAAATCTGCTATGTTCGTGCGTTTCACACGCAGAAGAGGCGAATTGGGCCAATTTCCTAGCCCAATTATTCACAATACGTTAAGTACATTCTCTTTCTGGACGTTGATGTACCTTCTTGTCAGCACATACACATACATATATCTAGATGTTTTTCGTGTACACAGACCAATATGTTGTTAAGTACCTCCTAGAATAGTCATTAACTACGTAATATAATTGTAATTTTGTTTATCTCTTTCTCGTTATAAAATTAATACCTGTGTATTTAATGTTATTTATTTGTAAACAAAAATATAACTATTCCCTCACTAACTCTCATACTTATTAACCATAAACCCAATGTATAACTTGCCTTATATATTTGATGTATCATTATGATGTCAGTTTTATTATAATACATAGATGTTGCATAGAACGTAGTGTATGTCCAATAAAAAAAATTAGTTTATAAATTAGTCTCGTAAAATTCGCATGCGTCGTAGGTGTTGCCTACGCGCAATGTTTTTTTTTGTTTCGCTAGTTATCTTCTCGCGAAGACGAGTTATACGTGAAACGGGCGATCCCATCGCATTCCGTTCTATTCGCGAGAGTTCTATGTGCGCGCGTGTATGTGTTGCTCCTGCGACTATTTTTGCATCAACGACCATGCTTATGACTTTTTCATTTGCTGCCGTGGTAGTTTAAAAAAAGAACAATAAGCCTTTCGGACGACAAAAGCCTCGCGGATCGAGTAGTCTTTTGAATGTATGTGTACGAGGTTCGCGGTGCGAGTTTCGTCGTTCTTTTTTTAAAGACGTGAGTAATCTCATTACGTTTGCGCGTACGGTTATAATACATGTATTTGGAACTGTTTGTACTTCATCGGGAGTTACATATTTGGAAATTCTCACGAGGCCTAGCTTAAAAGAAAATAAGAAATTTCAGGGCGTTGAATTGTACGCGTATATTCACATTAAATTATTAATTCTGTGCGCGTGACATTAACATTTTATTATTACGTTACCAAAGCAAACGCACACATGTGCTCGAGTGTTTTCATTTAACGAGGTATCATTTGCTTTCATTAACATTGAGCGATGTGCGCGCAACATGGCATGCTAGTGTAATTAATTAAATTTGAGAGAAAATAAAGAAAGAAAGTAATTGACAATTTTGATAATATTATTGGTGTCGGTAAAGCAATAAAATGAAATATGTAAGTAGGTTTTTCATGGAGTCTACGAGGGGAAACGAGGTCGCGAGTTAGAAAAAACAAGCCAGTGGCTGCAATAAAATGTAGATTTTGCAAAGTCAAGCGTATCTTGTTTCGAAGCTTATAGCTCAGATAAAATGACAAGTCGCTTTAGCAGTTTGTTCTCTAGTTGTTTTATTGGTTACTCAGTTTCGTCGTCGGTTTCTCTCTATCTATCGTGTTGTGTTCGTGTTTTCGTTTGCGTCACCACCTGTTAAAGATCGAACGGAAACTCTTGTCTTTTTCCCATCGTTGTTGATTTTCCGTTAATCGTAGACGGCAATTCCTTTTATTTTTCACTGAAAATCGATTTCGCGTCATGCGCGCGCGAGCAAATAACGTCGGGGACGAGCGCAGCGTGAAATTGATAACGTCACTCGTTAACAAAAGCGATATGTAGTTACCTTGTCGAGCGGCGCGACCGCTAATTATTCCCTGACCACCTCCCCTCCGCCGCTCCTGGCCGTTTTGTCCGAGTTCGTTCGCTCTTAATGACGTTTTCGAACGAAGCGAGCTGATAACGTTTAATTTAACGCTCCTTTGATTCGTTCAACTCCCCTCTACTTTTTTTCGAGCTCGATCCTTTTTCTTTGTGGATAGAGAGAAAGGAATCAGACGGAGAAAAAGTCGACGAGGGGATGTCTTTACTTGGTTTGCCGAGCAAACATCGCTCTTAGCCAATTACTTGTCCAACGTCTAATGAGATTTTTCAGTGTTTTCGTTTGACGCTAACATACAGCCGTTTTCACGACGTAAAACTTGGAAAATCTCTAGGTTACTTTTAATTTATTTTTATTTTTAGAACTTCACCTGTCAGTTGGTCAAATAATTAGAAATACGGTTAAGCAAAAAGTAAATACTTCGTGACGCGTAACTTTTTTACGAAGATTCATAAAACCCTCTGGCGGAAGATTTTGAAATAAAAGTTCCGATTTCCTAAGTAATATTCAAGCAAGTTTTAATTAAATTCAGTTCATTTTTATCTCTTATTGAAAAAAAAGCCGTATTAAAATTCGTTAATCTAAGATTAGCAAACCAATTTTTCAAAGAAAATTTTAATTAAAATTTTCTTTTGCGTCTTGAGTACTCGCACTTGCTGTCGTATCGTCGTTTAAACGCCCTCAAAGAAACACGCCTTTGGTAAATGAGCTAATGTTTCGTTCTACTTAGCCCGATATCAGAGTTTCATGAATGGAAATAGAGAAGTGGCTGGAAAAATTGAAACTTACAATAAGAAAGCTGAGGACGCGCGCGCGGGTGCGTAAAAAAAGAAAGAAGAACAACAAGATAAGCTGCGAAGCCTCGCAAAAACAAAAGCGTCGTCGGCTGGAAATTCAATGGCACTCTGCCCCCTTTCTTTATCCCAACAGCCACACAGCCACACAGCCACGCAGTGCGCACCTTCGTTTTTTTTATTCGATTCTCGATAAGAGCAGCATCGTCGGGCGAGTTAAGCATCTTAAAGGGTCGATCAAAGGTACATAGCGAAGCCTCGCTCTTAATCCTTATATATAGGCTTGTCAAAGAAAGCCGCGGAGCAGGCGCCTTAAAGAATTCTCTCTTTTCTGTGCACGAATTGCAACTTCACATGCGAAGGTTGGCGAGAGATCGGCGATCAATCAAGCTTTAACGCGTGGCAACGACGTCAGGTTACACGCAGCTCGGCCGCTCGCGGACGCCTCTAATAATCATCATTTGCATTTGAAATGAATAGTAGGACCGTGCGAGTGTGTAGAAAATAGGGCGGAACAATCGGCGGAACAATTGTCGAAAATACATCGGGGCCATTCGCGGAAGGGTGACTATATGCATACTCGGTGTGCGCATGCAACACACAACACACGCGGACCAGACGAACCGACGGACGGACGGAGAGAGAGTTTATGCCGTGCGAGATCCACGTCACGAGCTTTCGTGACTCGGCCTAATGGATTGATCAAACAGTCTGGCTGTTGTATATACGTGTATATACACGTATATATGTGTACGCGTGATACGAGAGCAAAGCTATGAGCTTGGGGGACCATGCGAGGTGTTGATAAAAAAGCGATGCACGCGTGCCTGCTGCTGCAACGAAAGGCAGCTGCGCGACAATCGATCTTTTGCTCTCTTGCTCGTCAAAGCTCTCGCTCGTGTGTGCGCTAGCTACGCTCAAACGCCGACAAACAGAGTGTTCCAGCCGAGAACTGCTTTGAATAATTAATTCGATGTTCAGTATAGCTTTTCATTGCTTTTTACGTCTCGCTCGGCATACAAATTCTTCGTTAACGCATCTTTAATTAGCGCTATGAAAGTCAACAATATTTATTGGGCATTTTTATTCGGCCGACTTTCCTGGTGTCCTCATTATATAGGGAAACATTTTGTTTTTTTCGACATACAAGATTGAGTGCACTTCAGAAGAGCGAACCGATTCTACAAAGCTACAGTAACGAGAATGTCGATAAGAAATCTATCAAATTAAAGAGAATACGACTATAAGTTGAAAAGCGTCAACATCCGCGCGTTCAATAATTAGCCTAGTTACGATTGATTGAAGCCGAGAATGGCGTTGACAGGCCAATTAACACTTTTGACGATACCAAGTTATTAATCAATTATGTAATTAATGAGTGTAGGTCACCGATTCTGGCGTCAAGTGGATTCTAAGCGAACATCTCGAGAAAACAAGCATTTACAATTTTATGTTGTAGCTCTCATTAGGATAGTGAGAGAGAGAGAGAGGGGGGGGGGAGCGAGCGAGTGAGTGAGGCCGAATATGCGAAGAGGGAAAATCGCTGGTGCGTGCAACAAT